TTACGACGCCAGTGTTTGGGGTTTGGGGTTGGGGGGGCTCTCTGCTGCTGGGAGTGTACCCTTTTGAACCCTGGTATTCCACCCCAAACCCCAAACCCTAAACCCCAACCCCTAAACCTCAAACCTTAAACCCGAAACCCCAGACCCCGAAGTTCCTCAACCCTGAACCCCAAACCCCCCTCAACTCTGACTGCCCTCTTGGCATGCCTCTGTTGCATCGTGGTTGCATTCCTGCACTCACATGACTTCCGAGCCCAATGCTCATTAGATTCAAACCCTACACCCTCAACCCTCAGACCGAAATGGCCCTAATTTCTCAGAACCTCCCCAAGACCCAGGCTCTTTGCACTCCAGACCTACACTACAACAATATAACGAACCACAGTATGAAGCAGCCCTTTCGCTCAGATGCCGGGTGCTCGTCGTGGGCTTCCGCCGTCGCGACATAAAGGAGGCCTCCCCAGCGTCTTTGCAGGATGCCGGCCGCGGTTGGAGGGTCCAGGGTGTACGGTTTACGAGGGGCCAGGGCGGGGGGGGGGGAGGGTGGGGGAAGCCCTAAACCTGTCTAACCCTAAGCTGCAAGCTTTACAGCAGCACGGGACCTGCTTGCCAGTTCCGCAACGTTCTGCAATATACCACTGCTACAGGTATGATATGGTCCCTAAAATAGGCGAGCCTAAACTTTTGGGTTGGGAGATTAGTGCTGAAACCTTCTCTAGTAACCCTAAACCCTAAACCTTCTCTAGTTACTGATAGGGTTGATTGGGTTCACAGGGATTCTAGGTCTTGTCAGGTCCCCACATATTCCGCTTCAAGTATAGCAACGGAGCTTGGTCTCTTATAGGTACCCAATTCCACAATGACCATGGTAGTGCCCTTCCTAACGGTTTAGGTAGGGTTTATGGGGGTTAAACCCTTACCCCTAAACCCTAAAACCCTAAACCCTAAACCCTAAACCCTTAGGGTGTAGGGTTACAATGACCATGGTACTGTAGAAGCCCGCTTGGAACCGCATCCTCAACACGAGAAGCCGAAAGGATCGTGTCGCAACGTCTCGGGCCTATAGTCCTCATCCGATGGTAGAGCGCACCTCCAGCGTGCCTCAGACATTTGGGGGCTTAAAGGTTCTTGGGGTTTCGGGTTCTGGGGCCTAGGGTCGTGGGGTTTAAGGCTTCTTTGGTTAGGCTAGAATTTGGACTGTCTTGCCTCCGACAAACCGTTCAGCCGGGAACGACTTCCGGACAGGAAGCTTTCAACATCGAAGAGCCTGACTGAACAAGCCACCCTAAACCCTAAACCCTAAACCCTAAACACTGCATGGGCATTCCCAGAAGGCAGGGTCCTGTGATTACTTAGTAGAAAGGACTCTTCTCTTAAATGGGTTTAGGGTTCCAGGGTTTGAGGGGTTCTACGGTTTGAGGGTTTGGGCTTCTAGGGTTTTAGGGTTTTAAGTGTTTAGCGTCCTTCTCATGGTCCATCCCTTTGAAAGGACCTTTGTGGCAACCCCATGTATGAGCAACCCCCCCACACACACAGAGAGACACATCAGAAGCAACTTCCTCACATCCCAGGAACGCCATCGTGGAGGCGAATCCTTCTCCATTGATGACCTCAGAGATTCACCGTAGCTCCCAGTATGACCTACATTGGCTGTAATAAGGGCACCCTTGTTTGGGTTGGTTACTTTACAAGGGAGCCTTGAAACAAAAACAGTGGAAAGGGTACCACTGGGCTACCATGTAAGTGGGGGTCTAAAGTCAGTGAATCATACCTACTCTGGGCTATTTGGAGCCTTAGGGTCAGGGTTTCGGGATTGGGGCACAGTGCTTCCTGAAATGAAGCGCTGATGGTTTAGGGTTTAGGAATCCAGCTACCTTTGGGCCCGCATGCGATCTCTGAAGGCCTCAGCCACAAAAAACAGCAAAGCCGAACCTCACTACCCTTTTGCCTCCGGCCTCCTGGCAGTCTGCTCTAAATCCTAAACCCGTTAGGGTTTGGGGCATAATATAGCCCTAAACCAAGCTTTACCCTCCAGCCGGCGCGAAGGACGGGTCAGGTTCTGGGTGCTTGGGGCATTAGGGGCCACCTGTACTGCAGCAAGATGGTCGGTTTAGGGTTTAGGGTTTAGGGTTTAGGGTTTAGGGTTTAGGGTTTAGGGTTTAGGGTTGTTGACTTGCGAATCTGAAGGTTCGCAGCTCGGGTTCCCCTCATCCCGTGCGAATGAGCCGCTACTTCGCGCGCGAATCCTTTTGAATTCAAAATCCTCAAGGGATTTTCAGGTAAGGTGCTTGCCAGGCTTTCTTCCTCTTGTTGTTTTTCCTTTTCATTTTTTTTGTTTCTTTTTTTTCCGTCGTTGCGACGCGAATGTTCTGAAATTTAGGTTTTCCGTCGTTGTCGTCGCAATAGTTTGGCCAAAGCAATGAAAAACGGTTCTTTTGTCAAAGCAAAAGCCCTAAACCGACGCATACATCCTAAACACAAACCCTAAGCCACAAACGTCCTAGACCCTTGTGCTGCACTTACTGAAGTCCTCAACCCTAAATCCTAAGCCCTAAACCCCTAAACCCTAAACATCTACATCCTAAACCCCAAATCCTAAACCCTAAACCCTAAACCCTAAGCCAAACCCTAAACATCTCCTGTGGGCCCAGGCCATGTAATGTACAACGCCATCGGCCTGGAGGTTGCCCCGGTACCTTCGGAGCTGTTGGGGAGCCTTTAGGGGTTTAGGGGTTTAGGGGTTTAGGGTTTAGGGTTTAGGGTTTAGGGTCCTGAAACCCTAAGCCCTAAACCCCAATCAAACCGTAAGAGGGGTTTTGGGTCCTCTTGAGCTCTGGCTCTTTGCCACCATACCTGAAGCGCTTAGGGTTTAGCGTGTAGGCTGAGGGTTGAGGGTTAAAGGCCAGTTGAGGGTTGAGGGTTGAGGGTTGAGGGTTGAGGGAATCCACTTCAAGCTCAGCCCGTAGCCGCCCTGGCCCCCCGTGCTTGCTTCCTAGGGTTTAGGGTTTCCCGAAACCACAAGAAGCTCCTGCCACCGACACCCCCATGGCCATCAATGGCATACCCTCGAAGCTCGTCAGGGCCTACCCCAACCCCAACCCCAAACCCCAAACCCCAAACCCCAGACCCGAAACCCGAACCCGAAACCCCAAACCCTAAACCCTTTACCCTTTTGCAACAGGCTTCTGAGGTCCGCGCCCGGAGTGTGCTTTGGACAGCGCTGGCTAAACCGAGAGAGCATGCAGTTTTGCAGCCCAACTAGAAGATATCTCATTGAACATGATCACATTCCCTAAACCCTAAACCCTAAACCCTCTGCCAAGATGCTCCCAATGAGCCCAAAGACAGAGCTCGCAAAGCCACGTCTCCTGCAGAACTTTCCAACTTCGGCCCTGGAGCTGGTTTAGGGTTTAGGGTTTAGGGTTTAGCTTCAAGAGTGGATCCTGCCCCCCGAAGTGGGGTCGCCAATCGCGTGCGTTGCTTGCTTAGAAGCTGTTCTGAAGTAGTGTTGTCTACTCAGCATCCCCCAGAAACCCTATGAGAATCCCCATAACCCACCCTTACTAAAAACCTGAACCCTAAACCCTAAACCCTAAACCCTGAACCCTAAACCCTAAACCCTAAACCCTAAAGTAGGGCTTAGGGGGGGGGCCACGCTCAGCTCAAACCCCGACCTACGGTTTTACTCTGCACCCAGACCCTGGGAAGTGTCACGCCACAAGCTTCGAACTCAAGGCAGCGTGCGCCTCAGGGTTTAGGGTTTAGGGCTAGGGTTTAGGGTTTAGGGTTTGGGGTTTAGGGTTTAGGGGTTTAGGGTTTAGGGTCTAGGGTTTAGGGTTTAGGGTTGAGGGTTTTGCCAGCCCCACACCTTCCAGTTGGTTCCCCAGGGGTTTGAGGTGTAGAGAATCGGGTTTCTTTCGTCCATAAGGATTACAGCGGCGGTCTGCGATGCCAGTGTGGCTGGGATGGATTCGAAACCTTCGCAAACAACCCCCCCCCACCCCCCAAGGTGTTACCCTAAACCCGAAACCCTAAACCCTAAACCCTAAACCCTCTGAGCCCGACTTGGAAGCTCTTCTGACTTAGTAAGAAGGGTTAGTAAGGGTGGGATTGTGGGGAGTATAATTGGGTTTCTAGGCGATACTAAGTCGACGGACTAAGTGAAAGGAGCTCCTAAGTCTGAAACCCCTAAACCCTAAACCCTAAACCCTAAACCCTAAACCCTAAACCCTAAACCCTAAACCCTAAACCCTAAACACCAACTATTTCAAAAACATTCGGGCACCCGAACGAGTCCTGCGGTACATCCTGCTTCCCATGGAGCTTGGAGCTGTCGTAGCGGAGTGGCCCTCCGGCTATCCTGGGAGGTTTAGGGTTTAGGGTTTAGGGTTTAGGGTTTAGGTGAATCATAGGACTAAGGACTAAAGAAGCGTAGTTCTTGTCGGCTGCGTCGCAAAACACCCCAAAACCAAACAGGAAAATCAGGGGCACTTGGGCTTGGGTGGTTTAGGGTTTAGGGTTTAGGGTTTTAATCAAATTAACTATCTTTAAAGAAAGGGTGTGTGTCATAATTGATTGGGTACAGCGAGTTCCCCTTCACAAGAGGTCGATAAGAAAGCTTCTCTCCCTAAACCCTAAACCCTAAACCCTAAAGCCCCTCAACTCCCTAAAACAACAACCGTCGACCCGGCTCGAAAAAGCGAGAGCCTTTCTCCCTCCTTCCGGACGTCGGCCCGTGCGACCGCTACAAACAGGGTTTAGGGTTTAGGGTTTAGCGTTTAGGGTTTAGGGTTGAGGGTTCAGGGTTGAGGGGGATGAGGATGAAAATCAAATTCAAAAAAGAATTAAATTCGAATTTAATTCATTCTGGACGGGCAGCCCACCCCCCGCAGGCCGAAGGATTCAATTCGAATTTAATTCCTGAAATGAAGCCTCGTAGCACAGCACTTAAGCTTAAAATTGAATTTAATCCTCCTTCCTGCCGGAAGGATTAAATTCAAATTTAAGCTGCCTCATAGTTCGACGAGGTTGCACGGTCACTCGCACTTCGGTTTTCGCACGCTCGGCCCTTGCTCTACGCTTCGGTTTTTACACTCTCGGCCCTTGCTCCAGCTTGGCGCGCGGGTTCAGGGTTTCAGGGTTTTGGGTTCAGGGTTTCAGGGTTTTGGGTTCAGGGTTTCAGGGTTTTGGGTTCAGGGTTTGAGGGCTTTGCGGTTCAGGGTTTGTTTTGGGTTGAGGGTTTGAGGGCTTTGGGTTGAGGGTTTGAGGGCTTTGGGGTTCAGGGTTTAAAGGTTTTTGGGTTCAGGGTTTGAGGGCTTTGGGTTGAGGGTTTGAGGGCTTTGGGGTTCAGGGTTTAAAGGCTTTTGGGTTCAGGGTTTGAGGGCTTTGGGTTCAGGGTTTAAAGGTTTTTGGGTTCAGGGTTTGAGGGCTTTGGGTTCAGGGTTTGAGGGTTATGGGTTCAGGGTTTGAGGGTTTTTGGGTGCAGGGTTTGAGGGTTTTTGGGTGCAGGGTTTGAGGGCTTTGGGTTCAGGGTTTGAAGGTCTTCGTTTGAAGGTTTGAGGGTTTTGGGTTCACAGTTTGAGGTCTTAGGGGTTCAGGGTTTTAGGTTGGCTTTGGATTTCTCTACAACACCACTGCATGGCAATAGAATTCGAATTTAACTCAAACGTGCTAAGTACTGTATGGTAATATAATTCGAATTTAATCCCCGCGCGCTAATGACTGTATGGCAATATAATTCGAATTTAATCCATAATTCCGAAAGAGAATTAAATTCAAATATAGAATTAAACCTGCCTGGCAGGGCTTAAATTCGAATTTAAAGCCAAGTCTTCGCGATTAGGATTAAATTCAAATGTAACCCCCTCAACACGGAGCCCTGGTCCTCGCAGGGGCTTAAATTCGAATTAAATTCGGAAGCCATTGGAGGATTAAATTCGAATTTAAACCCCCTCGACGGGCAGATGGATGGCCGCTGAAGCAGGTCTGAAATTCGAATTTAATCTTTATTGAATCTGAAATTCAACCTTATTCGGGTTGAGGGTAGACCCCTAGGCTGCGCCCAAAACCCTTGAAGGGGTTGGGGCCTACTCAAGGGCCCTCGCAAGCCCTCGCCCCCGCAAGCGCATGTGAGGCACACCACTTCAGAACACTCGGCCCCTTCCAGGAAGATCTCGTGGAGGGCCTTGTTTTGCAACCCGCGGCTGGAAAAGGGCTTAAACCCTAAACCCTAAAACCTAAACCATAAACCCTAATCTATAGGGTTATTAAACCCTAAACCCTAAAACCTAAACCATAAACCCTAATCTATAGGGTTAGCGTTTAGCAAGGGTTGATAAGGTATGATGGGCTTGGAGTTTGTCGGGGAACGCCAAGGGCGCCATAGAAAGAAGCTCCCTGAACATGGATCCCGTGCAACCCCAAAGCCTGAACCCTAAACCCTAAACCCTAAACCCTAAACCCTAAACCCCAGTGCCTGAACATCACCCGAACCGGAGTCACCGTTCAACAGCATGCCGCCCAGTTGCAGTGGCGACTTTCTCAGAAAAGACCTTGTCACATAACCTGGTGGGCTTGAATGGCCCTAAACCCCTAAACCCTAAACCCTAAACCGTGTTGCCCTGTGGCCAGAGGCTCTTCTCGTGTGCATGTGAAAACCCTATGAAGATCAAACCCATGGCGCCCCAAGCCCTACACTTTCTCCTAGCTTCATATGGTCAGCTCTCAAATTACGGCACCTTTTTGGGGCATGTTAAGTGAGAGCGGCCGCCTTTCAATGAGAAGCCCAAAAGACAAGGAACCATATGAGAAGGAGAAAAAACACAAGTCGACGGTCTCCTAACCCCCCTCGGAAAGCTGTGGGAGCACTGCCTGTGGGCTCTTGAGGCCCTCAACCCTAAACCCTAGACCCCCCAAACCCTAAATCCCAAGCATCAGGGTTTAGGGCATTAGAGTTCTCCACACCCCATACTGAGGTTCAAGATAAGCCAGACACAAGCCCTAAACCCTAAACCCTAAACCCTAAACCCAAAACTGAGTAACCTAGGAGTAAGGAGTAATAAGGGTGCACGTTTTGGTGTGAATTGGCTTATAAGGGGACCTAAACGCCCCCAGAAAGAGAACCAGGACCTGCTTGGGTCCTAAAGCCGCAACCCTAAACCCTAAACCCGAAACCCTAAACCCTAAACCCTCAACCCTAAACCCTAAACCCTAAACCCTCAACCCTAAACCCTAGGTTTAGGGCATAAGGGCCAACTCTGGGTCCTTACGCGGTGCGGATTTCGGGCTTTGGGGGCTTTGCGGCTTGGGGGCTTGTTTAGGGTTTAGGGTTTAGGCTTTGCTCCCTTCAGAACTCCCGGTATGTCCGACAGGATGTTTTGGGGGTTTAGGCGTTTTTTTGGGGTTTTGGGGCTTCGGGTTTAGCGGCGGGAGGCAGCCAGTTAAACATGCGGAACAGAAATGCCGAAACAAATCCTTCCCTCAACCCCCCCCCCCCCCCCAAAAAAAAAAAAAATGGACCATGGTAAGACACGGCATGCAAGTGGTCTTGACTCCGCAAAAACCCCCGCACATCCCCTTAAATCCCCCTGAAAGCCAGGTAGCTTCAGAACCAGCTGCTCGTCCAACCTCGGTTCAAGCGCTGCTGGAGGTTCATGGTACCTATTAACCAATGATAACTGTACTTTTATGCCCTACTTATAAGCCCATTACAAGCCCCCTTAGTGCCCGAATATGGTTATAAGTAAAATTTTAAGTAAGTACCATGAACCTCCAAGTGTCCCTCTCCTCTGAAGCTTCATGGGTAGTTACAAGTGGGGGTTTACGAAAATAGCTGGCACCCAATATAGATCCCCACAGAGTAGGATCCCCATATAATACGGACCCCTAAAAGGTACCCCAAGTTTCGAAAACCCTAAACCCTAAACCTAAACCCCAAACCCTAAGGCCGATGCCGATGCAAAGTTGAAGAGTTCACTTCTGCCCTACCCATGGAAAGCAGGTGATAGGGTCTTTATTGCTCAGGGCATGGCAGAGGATACTTGAGAGGTTCTAGAGGGCTGCTTGGAGCCTCCTGGGATATTGTAACTAGGGTTATGAGTAGGGTTTGGGGTTTAGGGCTAGGGTTTAGGATTTAGGGTTTAGGGTTTAGAGTTTAGGGTTTAGTATGCCAGCACGTCCACCCCACTTAGAGCTCAAGTAGGGTTTCAAGCCTCAGGTCTGCCTACTTCCGCCTTCCCTGCTTGCCAAGATTCGCCACGTGCCACACACACCAAAGCACCCGAAAGGTTTTAGGGTTTAGGGTTTAGGGTTTAAGGTTTAGGGTTTAAGGTTTAGGGTTTCGGGTTTAAGGTTTAGGGCTTAGGGTTTAGGGTTTAAGGTTTAGGGTTTAGGGTTGTTTTATACTAACAATCCTTGATGGGGATTCTGAGGGGGCTTAATAGGGATGCTCAGATGAGCAGCCTGAACTCTGGGGCTTATAAAGATGATGTGCTGCTGGCCTTTCTCTCATCTGCTCAAAGTTCAAGGTTGGAGCTTGAAAACATGGCAACAAGATTTGTTTTTCGGGCCCCTTATAAACCACCCAAAAAAGTAAAATACAAAAAGAGTCCCCCAATCCCGTGTCCACAGGTGGTTTGGGTTGGGATGTTCCCGCTTATACTAACAGTCCTTCATTAATTCGAGATTATAGGACCCCCTGGCATAATCCCTATTAAGCCCCCTCACAATCCCCATCAAGGACTGCTAGTATAAAACAAAACCCTAAACCCTAAACCCTAAAAGGGGGAAGATCGCAAGGTTTGGGGCTGACGCCGGGCCGCTCCACCATCTCCTCAGTGAGCCAGCCGGCAGTCAGGAGCACAGGCATGTAGATCCTGAGGATGTAGGGTTTAGGGCTACGGTTTGGGGTTTAGGTTTAAGACCCCGTCCCCTCTCAAAAAAAGATAGCATCGTCTATAGGCATGCTTATCCTTTGTTTTTAGGGTGGCTCTTAAGCAATGGTTGTTTACTATACACCATCTATGATCAGTTTTCCAAAAACTATGGCAAAAATCTGGAAGCTTTGGCTACCGCGAACATCTTGTGAAGTGGTGGAACATCATCGCTGGCGGAATTGCAGTTCAATTTGACTTCACATGCGGTGTGTTTTGCTGTTAATCTGTGCCTCGTGGAAGACGCAGAAGATGAAACCCATTGCAAAGTTGCATCCTGCTCTGCTGATCTTTCATGACCTTCAAAAGCCTAACTGACTTGATGCCCCTATGGCCTGACCCGAAACACTAGAAACTCCAACTCTTCTCTACTTCGGTTCACGCCGGGCGGCTCGTGATGAAGCTTCACGCGCAAGCTGAGAGGCAAGTCCTTGAGAAGTGGGATGTCCTTGGCACGAAGACGATCGAAGCCTATTGCAACCGCCTTGTTCGGTGCAGGCCTGGATGTAACATCCCTTACGTCCTTTGGACTCGTACCCAGCTGGCTGTGAATTTGGTAGTGGCTGTGGAACTAACTGCGTTCAAGATGAGTAGGTGCTGTGAATCTGAACAGCCCATTGGCCCGAACCACTTGAGAAGCTGCCAGTGCTGCCGATCTTGTGTTTCGGGTGGCTAGGGCCGAAGAAACTCGCCAGCAAATGAGGGCCGAAGGCCCTAAATGCCACACGACGAAGAGAGGGCAAGCAACGGTGCAGTCTAACAGACAGGGAAGCAGGGAGGATGTTTTTTTTTTTTTTTTTTTACGGGTAACCCTATATAGAGTAGTCCAGTTGGCTGCTTCTTTGAGCGACTTCTTGGCGAGGACGACTTGCCTCGGCTCGACGAGCTGCAAGGCTTCGGGCTTCTGGTTTGTGACTGCTTTGGGTTTCGGGTTTAGGGTTTAGGTTTGAGGGGGGAAACCGAAAATGGGGGTACCTTAATTGGGGTGCTTTTGACAAGGGAATCCTACTATTATTTGGGGTTTATATTTGGCATATTTGGGGTTAATTATTTTCGTAAACTTCGGGCTTATGGTTTGTGACTGTTTAGGGATATGGGGGGCGTTTCGGACATAGGGGGAAATGCCCAAAAAAACCAGAGGGATACAAGTAAGCCCCCCTCGAAACAAAAAAAGAGACAGAGAGCAGGCCGGGAAACAGCCTCACGAAGCGCTGCACCCGGCACCAGACGTCCACAGAGATGGACTTTTGGGTCAGGAACCTTTGTGCTGGCGTCGGCTCTCACAGTGGCATTGGCAAGTGGCAAAGGGAAAGGCAGAAAACCCTTTCTGCCTACTTAAATCGCACAACCTTGAACTCTACTTCAACCCTCAGCCTCAAACCCTTGCCAGCCTCAGCCGTGCAGCAGTCCTTCTGGTTTGTATTCGTTGGAAGGGGGGGAAGGGGAGGGGGGGGGGGGGGGGGGGGGGGGTAGGGTGTAGGGGTCTGTGCTATTTCGCAAGGGGTGCATGACAGGTGTGGTTGAAGAATCCACCACAACAAAAGTGTCTAAGGGCTTACAGTGTACATGGGTTTTTTATAGAACTTCCCCAGGGGGGTGTATAGGGATTATCGGGCTTGAAAGTTCTATGAAGCTTGGATGCGGATTTTGCCGGGAGTTTTCCGTGTCCAGGGGCCCTTCTTGAAAAACCTGCGCCTTCGTTCAGGGAAAGCCTCTTTGGCCGATTTGCAGATGGTTCTGAATTTTGCGCAAAGCCATTGTAGGGTTGTATCTTTGGCTCCCAACTGCTCCCCACTAAACCCTAAACCCTAAACCCTAAACCCTAAACCCTACTAAACCCTAAACCCTGAAGGCCTCAAGCTCCTGGGGGCCTCCAACCGTACTCTAAGCGAAGAAACCTTCCTTAGGGGCCCAGTCCTGCCCAAGAACGGGACCCCCAAAATAGTCCCTGCTACCCTAAACCCTAAACCCTAAACCCTAAAACCCAAAAACCCTAAACCCTAGAAGTCTTGTGATTCCCCCTTTGGGGGGGGGAGGCTTAGTGGACTCCATGATGAACTCCTGATTCCTAAATTCCTTAAGACCTTCTAGTAGGGACCCAGAACCAAAGGCTTCGGGGGAGTCCAGGTGTGTGAAGTGTGTAGGGAGGGTTTATACTAGGGCAGTTTAGGGCTTGGGGTTGAATCTTTTGGGAGCGACAGTATCCGGCCGACGAAAAGAGCTGAGGAACGACTTCACCCGGGTCTCCGTCTTGAAGTGATCCACATGCATCTGCCGAAGCTGGTTCACCTGTTGTCTTATGCTAAACCCTAAACCCTAAACCCTAAACCCTAAACCCTACACCCTCGAAGTATAGGCTTGAAAGCAAGCTTCAAACCTCGGCTGGAGCTTCAGGGCATGGATATAGATCAAAAACCTCAAAGTAAAGTATCTAAGGGGTCGGAATAAATACGAATCGTATTCCCTTATGGTTCCTTTATAGTTATACTATAATAACCCCCCCCCCAAAAAAAAAAAAGCCTATTCTAATTATTTAGGCCCGTATAGTAATCCTGCGCGGAATGCCCGTGACCAAAACACTGCAGCACGTGTGCCTAGAAACACCAAAGCAACCACACAAGAAGCGCCTGCATGACAGAGCTTTCAAGAAAGGGACTGCTGTGCGTTATACCCGGTTTTGAGGTTTGAAGTTTGCAAAAAGATCATGATCAACATTGCTGCAGACAGGCTCTGCCCGCGGATAGAGCCCGCCAGCTACATCCAGACAACACCCCACACCCCACAGATGCTCCAAGTCTAAACCCTACGTAGGCCCTGTAAACCCTATAAACCCTATAAACCTATAAACCCTAGAAATCCTATGAACCCTATAAACCTTATAAACGCTACAAACCCTGCCAACCCCATACAACCTATCAACCCTAAAGTCTACATCCTAAACTCTAAACCCTGGGTTGAGAGCTTCGCGCACCGTGTTCGTAACGCCGCTGATGAAAGAGGAAAAAACAGCCAGGCCGATGAGGACAACAAAGATGGCGAACACCCGCTCCGGGGCAGTGTTCCTTCGGTTTAGGGTTTAGGGTTGAATCACCCCTATACAACCCCTTACAGGGTAAAGTTGAGGGCGTAGAGTGTGAGGTGCTCTAAATTCAGGAGGCACGAACCAAAGCTCTTGCAAACAACCTTCCCCTCCTCGATTGCTTGTGAAGACAAACTGCGCCAAATACTCGGTAGCCCGGTAGCCATATTGCAATAGGGGGTATGGGGTTGGCTTAGTGTATAAGGGAATGTTGAACCAAAAAACGGGAAAGGGTACCACCGGGCGACCAAGAAGACCCATCCCAGTTTGAATTTAGCCTTGACATCTAAACCCTAAACCCTAAACCCTAAACCCTAAACCCTAAACCCTAAACCCTAAACCCTAAACCCTAAGCCCTAAGCCCTAAACCCTAAACCCAAACCCTAAACCCAAACCCTAAAGTTGTCAACCGTTGGGCTGCCATCAAAAGTAGCAAAGGCCCTTTGGCGAGGTAAAGCCCTCCAGCGTGGGTAACATTCCTAGACCCAAGAGTAACCTAGGAATGAAACGGGCTCAGGGTTTAGAATTTAGGGTTTAGGGATCAGGATATTTAGGATGTGGGATTTGGTGCACTTTTTGGTTCAAAGGCGCTGAAAAGGGCACCCCAACCCCAAAGACGGAGAACGAAGCTCCACTCTGAGCCCGAGCAATATCGAGATCCCCTTAGCCGGGTGAGAGAAAACCCCTATAGCCTCACAAACCCTAACCCCTAAACCCTGAACCCTGCAGCCCCAAAACCCCCAAAACGGATGGTGCCTGCCCCCGAAGAATGGAATCACGAATAGCCCAAACGCACACAGAAGTACAAACATTTCACATAATTTGGGGGTTCAGGAGGACACTTCTCTGACTCAGGGTTTTGGGGTAACTATCACAAGGCGGCCCCTGATATTCAGGGCGCCCCAAAAAAAGAACATGATTTTGAGGAATGACTACGAATACACTCACCAAGAACCATAACTTGGGAGCCCGGTTTCCCCCCAAACAAGCCCACAAACAAAAACAAAGAGGACCAACATTTTGCCAAGGGATGTTCCCCCTTATGCTAGCCGTCCTTACTAGGGATTCATCATCGTACCCCCCTACTGTGGTCCCTATGAAGGTCTGTTAGCATAAGGGGGCACATCCCAAGCTTAGGGTTCATCTAGGAACCCTAAACCCTAAACCCTAAACCCTAAACCCTAAACCCTAAACCCTAAACCCTAAACCCGCTCTCTCTCTCTCTCAGGCATTCGAAACCCTAAACCCTAAACCCTAAATACAAAGAAATACGTACTTTGGAGTTTCAGGTCGACGTTCGTCAACATTAATTGGCTCTTGTCGGGTAGATGACCGAAGGCTTGCAGCTAAGGCTGGCGCTCCGAAACTGCCAGGGAGGGGGGGGGAGTTCGTGGGGTTTAGGGTTTAGGGTTTAGGGTTTAGGGCTAAGTCCTAGCAGCCAGATGCCCACCGAGCCCGCCATTTCTTGCGAAGGCACGGAGCGATGTTGTTGGTTGCGGGCATGAACTGTGTCAGCGACCTGGCACGGTAGTGCTGGCGACCCTAAACCCTGTAAACCCTGTAAACGCTGCAAATCCTGTAAACCCTGTAAACCCTATAAACCTGTAAACCTTGTAAACCCTGTAAACCCTAGAAGCCCTATAAACCCTGTAAAACCCTATAAGCCCTACAAACCCTATAAACCCAAAAAACCCTATAAACCCAATAAACCCCCCTATAAGCCCTATAAACCCTATAAACCCTGTAAACCCTATAAACCCTATAAGCCCTATAAACCCTATAAACCCTATAAACCCTAATTATAAACCCTATAAACCCTATAAACTCTTTCTTCATCAACCCAAGGTTCCAATTCAAGCGTCTAAGCCCAGCCTTAGGGGTACCTCGAATAGCCCAGTAACCATATTAGAATAAGGGCACCCTTTTTTGGTTCGATTACTTTATAAGGGACTTAGAAGCAAAAAAACAATGAAAAGGGTACCACTGGGTTACCAAGCACTCAAACTATGGGCATCCTTACCGTAGGATCCCCCCCCCCCCCCCAAATGGGTGCCCCTGTTTGGAAAATGCCGAAATGCAGAGCCACGGGTTTGGTCTTGCAGCTCAAGCTACGGTTGAATGCTCATTGGGCTTGGGGGTCTGCCACAAAGAGTGTTCAGGGTACAAGGTTTGCCTTGATTTACCCTAAAACCTAAACCCTAAACCTTAAAATCGTGAACACTCAGCGGCAGCTGAGTCCAACACCAGTGCAGCGCGGACAGGTACTGAGTCGTGAAGGGCACTTGGTCCAAATCTGCCTGGGGATTACAAGCCCTAAACCCAAAACCCTAAACCCTGAACCCTAAACCCTAAACCCCAAACCCCAAACCACATCGAAACCCAAGGTGGGATCACCTCTTGTGAAGAACCTGCCTTTGCCCAGTCTAGGGCTTCCACTCTCGCACGCGCACATAGCAGAAAGGTATTAGGGTTTATATCAGGCGAGTTGGGTAAAAGTTCTAAAGTGCGGCACAGCGCGGCCTAATTCTGACTGTTGTAAGGCTCGATAGTTTCCCCATTACGCCACCATGACTGTATGGGCACCTACTAAGCCCCAAACGCCTAAATCCCTAAACACCCTAAGCCCCGAACCCTAAAACCAACCCACAGCCACACCACAGGGGGAGGGGAGGGAGGAGGGAAACCCCACGCCCCTGACACCCTAACACCCTTATAAAGCCCTAGACGAAACCCCCCTTGAATCAACCCTCAACCACAACACAGGGAAGGGGAGGGGGGTATCATACCATGGGGGGGCGGAGTGGGCGGGGGTCACCGGAGCGCCTGATCATCTGTACAACAACCGTTTCTCCTGTAGGGTTCGTGGCTTGAGCCGGACTCTTAGATTTCATTTGCGCACCAGAGAAAGGAGAGAACACACACACACACACACCCACACACCCACACACCCACCCACCCACCCACCCACCCACCCACCCACCCACCACTCAAGCACGCACGCATGCACGCACGCACCCACAAGCACAAGCGTGTGCGATGAAGTTCAGCCGAGGAGACGAGAATGAGCCATGTTGTCGCGCCATCGTCCACCAAAAGCCTCAGCATTCGGCACAGAACTTTGAAGGGCTCAGGGCGTTAGGACAGCTGGGACTGAATCACCAGACGAACCGCTCTAGCAGTGTCGCGCGGCACACGCCATAAGCACTTGTCATCATTGTCATCGTGGTACTTGGAGGTTCATGGTACTTATTAACCAATTATAACGGTACTTATAACCCACTTACAAGCCCCTTAAGTGCCCTAATATGGTTATAAATAAGTACGCTTACAAGTACAGTGATGATTGGTTAATAAGCACCATGAACCTCCAAGCAAACCCTAAACCCTAAATCCCAAAACTCAAAACTCAAACCCTAAACCCTAAATCCCAAAACTCAAACCCTAAACCCTAAACCCTAAGCCCTAAACCCTAAACCAAGTAGAGCTAGAGGCAGCTTCTTCAGCTCGAAGAGTTCCTCACAACAGGAGACCTTCACAACCCTCATTCTGTGCCTAAACCCTAAACCCTAAACCCCTGAATTAAGGAATATCCCTTAAATTACAATGGGAACCCTAATCCATAATATGATTTAAGGTATACGCCTTAACTAAGGGGCTTTGGAGTCATTCTGTGCCTCCTCCCTAGCCGCTGCCAAGGGACAGGGCTAAGGATAAGAACGCGCAGGAGACGTAGTGGTTGATTGCCAGGACAACGGCCAGGCTTCCTCAAGATTCTTCAGGGGCTAAGAAGCTTTGGAACTCAAGCTCCACCAAACCCTAAACCCTAAGCCCCCCTGAAAAAAGCCCTCAAACTAAGCCGGTCTGGGGTTGAGGGGTTGAGGGGTTGAGGGGTTGAGGGGTTGAGGGGTTGAGACTTGGCTGCACTCAGGAGGGTAGCAATAAATTAAACTTTTAGCTGCCTTACTAAGAAACCCCATAAACCCAAAAAAGGTAAGGATCTAAAGTTGCGGTAAAGTACCACAAAGGAGATGTTGAGCTTCCAGGCATGTCGCGAACCCACCGAGGATCCCCTGAGAACCTTCCCTTCCAGGCCTTTAGGGTTTAGGGTTTAGGGTTTAGGGTTTAGGGTTTAGGGTTTAGGGTTTAGGGTTTAGGGTTTAGGGTTTAGGGTTTAGGGTTGACTAAAGGCTATACTCCCCTTAGAACCTCAATAAGAATAATGTGTTTAATTTCCTCTTGGGTTTTAGATAAACAAAACTCAAGAATAATTCCCAAGGGGGGATATAAAAGGGACTCGTATAAGAGGGACCTTAAGATTACTTAGGTTTTTGCTAGGGGCTACTTAGGTATATAGGGGGACAAAAGGGGGGGGGGGGGGGGGGGGGGGAGGCTCTTACAAGGGACCGTAGGGGTTACTTAGGTTTTTTTTGTTAGGGCCTACTTAGGCTTATTGGGACCGTATTGGGCTCTACAGGGTGGGGCCCCCTAGTTATAAGTAGAGTTATAAGGGCCCTAAATTGGGTTATAAGGACCCTAAGTTAGGTTAACTACAGTTAGTATAGTAAGGGGGCCCCACCCTGTACGCGCCTTCAAGACCTCTGGCCCTAAGCTCACTCAGATGCTGCCCTGTGCAAACCGCCCATGTTCCAGCAGAAAGGCAGCCATGCATGGCCTGACTGGACCTACATATTCCCATGTCTAAAAAGAAACTAAACCCTAAACCCTAAACCCTAAACCCTAAACCCTAAACCCTAAAAACCCTGAAACCCTACCGCAAGACATCTGGTGGTGCCAGCCAAAGCTCTGACGATCTTGATTGTCAGGAGGAAGCTGTCCGTCTTCACGCGGTCAAGCAAATCGTCCTTGGGGGGCCAACCGACCCTCTACACCCTAAACCCCAACTCAGATCTTAATGAAAGGGTTTAGGGTTTAGGGTTTAGGGTTTAGGGTTTAGGGTTTAGGGTTTAGGGTTTAGGGTTTAGGGTTTAGGGTTTAGGGTTTAGGGTTTAGGGTTAATGAAACCTCTGTAACATAAAACCTCAATCCCTGATTGGAAGCCCTTTTGACTGAGTTAGTAGGGTTACTAAGTTGCGCTATGGAGATTCTTATGAGGTTTCTGTAGGGGATACTAAGTAGACTTACCAAGTCGCGAGAGCTTCTAAGTTGGACTCTAAATCTCAACCACTGAACCCGCATGAACCCTAAACCCAACCTCAAACTACCAATTGCTTAAGAACCCAAAAGCATTAAACAAAAAACAAACATGTTCTTTCTTACTTATAAGGGCAATACATATTGGGATGATTATTTTGTTAAACCTTTCTAAGGGTTCTTAGGCGAATGGCAGCAGACCCTCTGAGTGAACCGCCCCTGAAAGCAAGCGGCGACCAGGTGCCACATCTTATGGAGGCGGAGCAACCTCGCGAAGCGCATCAGGCGGAGGGCCTTGGCAGGTGTCAGAGCTTGTGTAGGCGTTGGTGTTAAACCCTAAACCCTAAACCCTAAACCCTAAATCCTATAACCCTAAACCCGAAACCCTAAACCCTATAACCCTAAACCCTAAACCCTAAACCCTAAACCCTAAACCCTAAACCCTAAACCCTAAACCCTAAACCCTAGCAGGTTGGGGGCTCCAGGAGGTTTAGGAGTTGGTCGGGCTGCACTTGACGCTGAGGACATCGCAAGGGAACTGCAACCCCAGCCTGCAGGTAAGCTACTTTAGGGTTTAGGGTTAGGGTTTAGGGTTTAGGGTTTAGGGTTTAGGGTTTAGGGTTTAGGGTTTAGGGTTTAGGGTTTAGGGTTTAGGGTTTAGGGTTTAGGGTTTAGGGTTTAGGGTTTAGGGTTTAGGGTTTAGGGTTTAGGGCTTTCTAATCTAGGTGCACTTGTTGTGCTTGAAGGGTTTGTAAGGAAACCTAAACCCCCACCCACCCCCCGCCCAAAAAACAATAACAAAAGCTCCGGACAATCTTGCCAGCAGGTAAGCCCAAAAAACTGGGGATGTTCCCCCTTATCCTCACAATCCTGAATAGGTTATACATTATACATATAGTACACCCCCTATTATAATCCCTATTAGGGACTGTTTGTATACGGGGGATAATGCCAGCCTTAAAACCTCAACTGGGTTTTTGAACCCATCCAAAAAAGGAAGGGCTGGGTCTTAGGAATTGCTTGCGTCCCACAGCCTCCCCAAAAACCCTAAACCCTCAACCCCAAAACCTAAACCCCAGGCTGCCGTGAGAGGCGAGAAGCACGTGCGATGCGGAGAGAGGGCAGAGATTCCTGAGCCAAGTGGGTCTAGGGTTTAGGGCAGGGTTTAGGGCTGAGCCCTGGGTTATGTGGGGCGAAAGAGACAGAGAGAGAGAGAGAGAGAGAGAGAGAGAGGGAAGAGACAGAAAGAGAAAGAGAAAGAGAGAGAAGGAGGAGGAGATTACCTCCCCCTGAGCCCTGACCTGGAAAGAAGTTGGGAGCTGCTTTCAGCAGACTGGCGTGTGGGTGGTCAACTGCTGGGGATGAAACCCTAAACCCTAAACCCTAAACCCGAAACCCGAAACCGACTCTTTCCGCCAAAACCAAGCCTTAGGATCATCGCCCTCGCTGGAAGAGCTCACGCCAAACACGATGAAAATCACGATGTCCAGGCTCAGCACCTTGCACGAACAGTCCTCAATAGGGATTCTAGTACCCCCCCCCCCCCCTAAACCCTATACCCTAAACCCTAAACCCCCCTATGATCATCCATACTAAGGGCTGATAGTAGAAGGGAGCACATCCCAAGGTTTGGGGTTGAGGCTTCATGCGAGTGATTCCCTCCCACCCCACCCCGCAGAGCCGACCTGGGAGATCCCCGCCAGGAGGGTTTTAGGGTTTTCGGGCTTTAGGGTTTAGGGGTGTTGGGGTTCGTGTTTACAAACCCTTCTACGGGGATCTTTTTTTGCATCCTCGCCCAGGATGGGCCATGAGCCCTAGAATCCCCACAGTCAACTCTATAAAGGGCCTTTTTGAGAGGGTTTAGGGTTTAGGGTTCAGGGTTCAGGGTTTAGGGTTCAGGGTTTAGGGTTTAGGGTTTAGGGTTCAGGGTTTAGGGTTTAGGGTTCAGGGTTTAGGGTATGATGGCCCGTCCGGGTCAGAGGCCTGCGTAAGGAGCCCCTCTGTCCTAGTCGAAAACCCCCCCAAAACATGAAAAAACAAGAATCGTCTTCCTTATCATGGTAATATATGGATTTGTTTTAAACATATTTTGGGGGGGTTCTTAAGCAACGAGTAGATATATGCCGCCGAGGCACGCCAAGATCAGGGACGAGCCAGCCTGGCAGGGCGGACCAAGGAACCCGCTCTTCTGAAACCCTAAACCCTAAACCCTAAACCCCTAAACCCCTAAACCCTAAACCCCTAAACCCTAAACCCCTAAACCCTAAATCCTTCACCCAGAAACTCCCTACCTTGGAGCTTTCATGGGCACTTTCTGACCCCAGTTATAAGTCTACTCAGTCTACTCTTCACCCTACTTAGGTATGTAGTTGGGGTTATAAGTACCCCTTAAAAAGCTGAGGGGGCAGCCGGAAGTTGCCATACTAACCCCTGAACACCACAGCTCCACAGCTCCTTCGTGTTCCGACTGGACGCTGAACCCCCCCCCCCCCCGCCCGCCCTTCTCCCGCCCGATAGTCAAGTAGAAGAAGGTCCCTAAATTGAGTTGTAAGCCCTGCATTACGACTACAACGCCCGTGATCCCTAAAAGCCTTAAACCCCGTAAACCTCTAAAGCCCCAACCACAGCCCCCCAAATCCCTCAAAGCCCTACCCCTGAAGACTCGCAGAGCCCGGGCCTTTGGCATAGTTCCGCGCGACCACCTTCACCCTCATTTCTAGAATCCCACCGCTGTCATACCCTGGGCGAGGGGAGAGACGGGTGGGGTGGGGGCGGCGGGGTAGGATGTATAGGGTTTAGGGCGGGATTGGAGTTCTTTCTGAGTAGGGCGGGATTGGGAGCGTTGTTGGGCATGATCGGCAGGCCTTCGACATGAAATGTGGAAGTGTTCAAGCAGCGACAACTTCTGGGGTTGTGGCGACGGCTGCCAGAACTTGCGCTTCTTTTCTGCTTGAAGCATTCTCATCTCATATTTTCATTCTGCCTGCAGTGCTTCATGAATAATTAGTTTGTTCTTCATCTTCATCTTATTCATCATCTTTTCTTCGCCTTCCTCGTCATTTAGTAAACAACTTGGAGGTTCATAACACTCATTAACCAACTATAACTGTACTTATATCTGTACCTATAACAACATTCGGGCACTTAAGGGGCTTATAAGTGGGTTGTAAGTACAGTTCGAATTGGTGAACAAGTACCATGAACCTCCAAGTATGGAGTATTCTGCAAGTCCCTAAACCCTAAACCCTAAACCCTAAACCCTAAACCCTAAACCCTAAAAGTCAAGTATTCCCAAGGCAACCCACAACCTTGCCTCTCGGAGCTCCCAAACTTGCTTGCGTTGAAAAAACATCCCAGACATGCCCAGAGCTGCTACATGGGAGGGGCTCGGGATCCCTTTTCAAAATTAGGGTTTAGGGTTTAGGGTTTAGGGTTAGGGTCCCTTTTAAATCCTTTCAAATCCTTTTAAGGGGCGCCGAGAATGACCCGAAGCCTCTGTGGGGGGGGGGGGGGGGTGCGCATGCTTGAGGGGTACTTGGAGGTTCATGGAACTTATTAACCAATTATATCGCCACTTAAAAGCACCTTAAGTGCCCTACTGTGGTTATAAGTACAGTTATGAGTACAGTTATACTTGGTTAATAAGTGTTATGAACCTCCAAGTATGGGGGGTATCACGAAACGCCCGCTCGGCCTGTGATGAAGCTGGCTGGGACATCCAGGATCCAGTAGACAAAAATCACGTAGGCCATGACCTAGATTTTGAGTTCGGGGCTTCGGGTTTAGGAGTTTGGGTTCAGGGTTGAGGTTAAGGTAAAAAATTGGAGGACTACCCAAACCCCTGGGAGGATCACAAAAGTAGAGCCCCCAAATAGCACCCTCTACTACTATTGGGTCATTCTTCTAGGAATCCTGAATTCCAGCCCCAAACAGAATCCTGAATAGCTACGCGACTTGTAGCTGTACATTATTGCTACACGCGTGAACCTCCAAGTAGCCATGCCAAATGCGTTGGGTGCGGAAATTGCGTGCTTTGCATGAAATGACAGTGCTTTGCATCCATGGGCACAGCCCCATGCCGGAAGCGACCAGAAGCCTCAGCCTGACCTAAACCAGGAACCCAATTGGTTTTGGGTTTAGGGTTAGTGTCAGGCCCTCAAGCGTCTTCAATCGGTCCAAAGCCAGACCCCTCCCAAGACAGTCACAATTCACGTTCAGAACCCTGCGCCCTAATCTTTGGCCTAATGCTACGATTTGCCTAAGACCCCCCCAAAAATGTAAGATAACAATCCCTATACTGCCCTTATACTTTGGGTTCTTGAGCAATCAGTAGAATATCAAAACCTCTAGAACTTTCATGATGCCATATGTGGGGCTACTTAACCAGCATCAGTATCTCGGGCAGTTCCTGCATACAACGGAGAGTAGAATGTGCATTTGGGCAGTTCATGTGGCCCCCCTAAACCCTAGACCCTAAAGCCTATTTCCAACTCAGGCTCCTCTCCCCAACCCTAAACCCTAAACCCTAAACCCCAAACCCTAAACCCTGAACCCTAACCCTGATACTCCCACCAGGTCGCATCGAGGATGCCCTGCATCGTGGCGCCCATGTCCTTGGCTTCGCGTTTGCGTGGGGGTGAGGGTTTAGGGTTTAGGGTTTCGGGTTCAGGGTTTGGGGTGTGGCAACGTTCTTAGCGCGCGTCGTGGGCCCTATGGATCGGCTTTCACGGGCCCACTCCAACGCGCGCGTCGCATGGCGGTACACCCACCCCAAACCACCCGGCGCATAGCATTGTAGGGTTTCGGCCCCAGTGCTCTCATCCGCCGTGGGGCTGTCTTGAAGCGTCCCGATGGATGTTGGCACCGGGGGCTGGCCGCCCCGGCTTGACCTCGAGGTCAGCAAAGGTGGGGTGAGAGCCGGCTGCCGCTCAGGGCTGGCCCGCAGCCGGAAAACGGGGCTGCCAAACCTAAACTGGTTTTTCGGCACGGGTGCAGGGGCACCGGCAAAGTCTTTAAGTTCGTCTCGGTGGGACCGGCTGACAACCCCTTTGTGTGACGGGGTCGGGCGTGGAGCATCCTGGCAGCATCGAGGTCGGGCCCCTTTTGTTGTGCCGGGATGTCCGCTTAGAGCCGAAAAACCCCGCAAGGTGACCGGCAGGACCAGCCAACCCCGAGACCTTCATACAGATAGGAGAGGAGCCACAAAAACCATGTCCCGCATGACATGCCAGGGTTGTGGCACAGGACGAGCGAAAGGCTTGAGAGGGAACAGGTGCCATGGTGCAGCAAGCCAACACCTTGCTCATGCGCTGAAGCTAGCTCAGCTAGACAATCCTTCTCTATCCAGGCGCCCACGACGGGGGGGGGGGGGGGGAGGTGGGCCTGGGGGAGGGGGGGGGGGCCGGAGAGGGGGGGGGGGGGGGTGGTGGCGCCGGCGCGGGGTGCTTGGGTTTCGGGTTTGAACCTTTGACACTCAAAGGCTCGACCGCCTGGCACGCACGGCTGTGTGCTCATCTTGCCAAGGCGTTCAGCAGCCACAGCTTTACCTGGGCTGCACGTGGAGGTGTGGTGTGTGGTCCGGTCGCAACCTGAGCGCTCGGACGGATTCGTGGTAGCGAGCCCTCAGCCGGACTTTGGGGTTTGGGGTTTAGGGTTTAGGTTTTCTCAGGGCGAGTTCTTTTTGTACCTCCTAAAAGTCCGAAGCCCTATGCTGCAGAAGAGGTCTGGTCATTAAAGAGGGGTCTCTGGAACTTTGCGCTCAAGCTTCAGGGTTTTATAGTTTACAAAGATAAGATGAACCACGGCCAACAAATCGAAAGGGGAGCGAGAGAGAGCGCGAAAGAGAGAGGGAGAGAGAGAGAGAGAGCGAGAGAGAGAGAGAGAGGGAGAGAGCGAAAAGAGAGAGAGAGAGAGCGTGTGAGTGGGAGCGTGAGCGGGAGAGGAGAGAGGGAGAGCTCTGCTATCATGCGACCACGATTACATTCATATACAAGTATGGAACATTCAATAATCATTGCACTAATTAAGAGTAACAACAATCACTGAATTGTCATGGGACGGAACCTCAGTCCATGCGCACTCCATTCAACACTCTTTTGCTTGTTGCCCTCATTGCCAAACTTAGCTGAGGGTTTCAGCGCGCTATGGGGTGCTAAACCCTAAACCCTAAACCCTAAACCCTAAACCCTAAACCCTAAACCCTAAACCCTAAACCCTAAACCCTAAGCCCTAAGCCCTAAACCCTAAACCCTAAACCCTAAACCCTAAACCCTAAACCCTAAACCCTAAACCCTAAACCCTAAACCCTAAACCCTAAACCCTAAACCCTAAACCCCAACGCAACGCCACGGGAGACAAGCTTCAAACATCTGTAGCGGGATGAAGATCAGATCCCAGCCTCCAAAGCGGGGGTCCAGGGTCTTACGTCGGTTTAGGGTTTAGGGTTTAGGGTTTAGGGTTTAGGGTTTAGGGCCAAAACCCCTAAGCCATAAACCCTATAATATATGTGCCTTAATCATTAGAACAGGTTTTTTTTTTTGGGGGGGGTGGGTATTATGGTATCTTTAATATAAAGGGACCATAAGGGAATACTACTAGAATTATTCCGACCCCTACATTGATCCCAGACCCCGAAAAGGCAAAAGCCTAGGCCCCAAATCCGAAGGCGCGTTCACATCTTGCTCTTCTTTCGGGGCCAAGGGGTCCGGGGTTTGGGGTCTTAACGAGAACTGTACCAGACCTACGAGGAACCTAGGAATGGAAAGGGTGCACTTTTTGCTTCAAGGGCTTATACACCTGAAACTAAAAAACAGGAATAAGGGTTTACTCCGGGTCCTAACCTTTTCTTGAGCCCAGACTCTTTACGTCAGCTGGCACGATGACCCCTCTTGAACCCAGACTCTGCATGTCACTAATCCCTAGGCCCTAAACCCGAAACCCAATCAGGACCTGCTCTGGGTTCAAGGGGTGCAAGAATGAGGGAAAACTAACTGGGGCGTAGGGTTTAGGGTTCGGCCGAGGAGAGGAGTGTCTGGTGAGAGGACTAGGGCTTAGAGGTAAGTTTAGGCCTTCGGGTCAGGGCTTAGTTTCCCTAAACCCTAAACCCTATATAAACCCTATACCCTAGTTAAACCTTAAACCCTAAACCCTAAACCCTAAACCGCATGCGAACACTAAGGATCCCCGTATGACCCATATAAAGAGCGACATAGGGAGACATTTTAGGCACCTAGTTCTACAAAGCCCTGAGGTTGCGGATTTCAAGTTTAGGGTGGGGAAAGTTATGTGGCTTGGGAAGATTATAGGGCTCCGTCACTCACACTCGCGTGAGGCCAGGCAATGGTTTCGGGCTTGGGGATCTAGGCTTCTCGGGTTTCTCCCTGAACCTTAAACCCTGTTTTTTGAACCCTGACTCCTGAAGTCAGCTGGGAAGGGCCCGTGACAAGCTAACCTTAAACCCTAAACCCCATAAACCCCATCACTTTCTGTAGGTAGGTAGTGAATGAGGGATTGGGGTACCCTATCCCCTAATATACCATTATATATAGGGTGCCTCATTCCCCCATTCCCTACTAACCAACAGTAGGAGAAGGTACGACCGCCATCAACTCCGAATGCTCAAGAGCCCCCGGAAGGTGCAATCGACTAAGGTGCCCACAGATTGCCTCAGCTGTCCGAGTTGTTCGGGGCTTGGGCTTGAAGTTTGCCCCTAAACCCTAAACCCTAAACCCTAAACCCTGAACCCTAAACCCCAAACCCTAAACCCCAAACCCCAAACCCTAACCCTCAACCTGAGGGAGCCGATGCGCTAAGAGACGCGGACCCCTCAATGGCCTCGAATTAGGAGTTCGGTACCCTGTTTTCGAGGGTCCTTCAGGTTTAGGGTTTGGGGTAGGGGGTTCAAGGGCGTGTATGTAACCCGGGGTTCCCTGATACTCACTACTCCCTATACAAGGCTCTCTAAGCCAAGGTTCCCTATTTAGGGTTTAGGGTTTAGGGTTTAAGGTTTAGGGTTCAGGGTTTAGGGAACCCAGAAGCTAAACGAAAGCCCTGGGCCCTCCACCTCTCCCCTAAATCCTTTCGAACCCAAACGAAATCCTAAACCCCAGAGATGGGGTTAGGGGTTTACAGTGAAATTAGGCCAAGATGGGCAAGATGGGGTTTGGGGCTTACAGGGAAATTAGGGCTGTAGAGTCACGAAAGGCGCGCTTGGCAAGCGGGCACCCCTCAAACGGACGAGCACTTGGAACAAAAGAGTCCCTAAAACCCTGACCCCCTGAACCCTAAACCCTAAACCCCAAAATGGAACCTGGGGCGGGTAGTGTAGAGGGGGTAGTAGGGAAACCCGAAACCCGAAACCCTAAACCCTAAATCAACCCTAAACCCTAAACCCTAAACCCTAAACCCTAAACCCTAAAATCGTGCCAAGAGTCGAGGAGGCCAAGAAAGTTCCAAGCCATGCGCAGATTTCCTTTCAACGGTCTGTCAAACCCTAAACCCTAAACCCTAAACCCTAAACCCTAAAACCTAAACCCTAAACCCTAAACCCTAAGCCTTAAACCCTAAACCCTAAACTAGGAAGGCGATGAAACGAGAGGTGCTCTGGCACCTAAACCCTACACTGCACTTCAGGGCATTTATTTCGGAAACCCCCCCCCAAAGTCCTGAGCTACTTTAGCGAGTGTGGTCTTCGGGCCAAGAAAAGATGTGTAGCCTTCAAGCGAGCCTAACCAAATGGATGGGCACCAGGTCACGGACATGTTTCTCTGAACCTCCTCTCTGCTCGGTAACTGAATGCTGATCCCATAACTCGGTTCTGCGCCCAACAGGCAGGCCACCCTGGACATGAAGTTGCGCGAATCTTAGGGTAGTTTCATGGTCCCTTAGTATGGGCCCGTGAAAGGGGACCCCTTATACATACCCGTTATATGCCCGATGCCGATTACGGGCCAATACATCAGAACCCTTCAAAGGAGGTACGGAAACTAAATTAGGGGCCCAAGAAACTACCCTTAGAGAGAAGCCGCAGAATGAAGCTACGATGAAAGCAACCAGCTCCAAAATCTCCAATGAGACTCATCCTGCGCTTGGCCCTGAACGGAAAACAAACTCCCACTGATCATCACGGGTCTTCAGAGCATTCAACCCTAACCCTAAACCCTAAACCCTGAACAGTTATTTAGCACTCTCCTGCTTTCAGGCTCATGCCCCTGCCCAAGATTCCATGCGGCTCAAGCATGCACTTCGAGATGCCCCAGGAGTCCTGCAGGTTCTTTTTTGATTTGCTAGACCCAGGAGTAACCTAGGAATAAAAAAGGGAACACTTAGGGGTCTAAATTTATGGTTTCGGGTTTGGGGCTTTAAAGTTTAGGATGTGGGAAAGACTGTCCTTCAGCTGCTCCCCAAGGAAATGCGAGTTGCGGCTGGAAGGTGTCTGCGGCCTTTGTAGTTGAGGTGTGCTTCGGCCACCAGGTGTACAGATGCATGATGTGCTACGTATGAATGCAGGTACGTATACGTACGATGGTGGCATATGTAAGTGAGTGTGTGTGTGTGTGTGTGTGTGTCTGTCTGTGTGCAAACGCACACACAAACGTTTAGTGCATCTTTTGGTTGTACTCAAGTGTAGTCGACCTTACGCAGCCATTACTTGCTCTGGTAGCTAAATTCGCATGGATAATATTTGCCTAGTAAAAGCAATAATTATCCAGAAGAAGCATTTGCGATGCGTGTCTTGAAAAAACGCATTTATTGCTTAGAATTGTTCGCTTAAAAAGTGACTCCTACTCGTCCAGGGATACTCCAAAACCCTACAATCCAAACTTCACCAGAGATTCTCCTGAAAAGCTTGCGCTTTTGGATGTCTTTTGTGTTTGTGAATTTGCTTGTGTATGGCCTTCACTAAGTAATTACTTTTCTAAGATTCGTGTGCCTTTTTTCGCCTGCTTGTGAAAGTTGTGCTTGTCAGACATAGTATATAAGCGGTCCTTATGGAATACTTCAGAAATCTTTGTTTCACCGTTATGTAAGTAGAACCGCTTTAGTGTTTATTTCGCATTTTGGTTGAGTATGGTCATTTAACGAGTATTCATTTGAGTCAAATTGGGCTATTTGCTTGATGATTACTCTAGTAGTTAAATTCGCATAGACTGATTATTGCAGATATAAAAAATGTTTCATGAATATGTAAACATAAAGTATTTCAGTGGACTTTTCAGATAGTATTTCAACAATCCTTTGCCTAGTACGAACACAACTGTTTCAATACATTAGTTGCTCAACAAAAACTTATTTGCCCTTTAAACCACACTTTGCCATATTTTGGTTGAATATGGTGCTTATTTCGTATGTTGGTTGAGTATGGTCCTTTTCAATAGTATTCACTTGAGTCAAATTGGGCTATTTGCTTAATAATTACTCTAGTAGTTAGATTCGCATAGAATGATTATTTCAAAACAAATGTTTCATGAATATGTAAACATACGGTGACTTTTCGGATAGTATTTGATGAATACTTTGCCTGTGCAAACACAATTGCATAAATACCGTAGTTGCTCAACAAAGCATTATTGCCCTTTAAACACACACTTTGCCATATTTTGGTTGAGAATGGTGTCTATTTCGCATTTTGGTTGAGCATGCTCCTTTAAATAGTATTCACTTGAGTCAAATTGGGCTCTTTGCTTAATAATTACTCTTGCAGGTAAATTCACATCGAACCAAGAAAACGTTTCACTTTTTGATGAATACTTTGCCTCGTACAAACACAGTCGTATACATACATTAGTTGCTCAACAAACATGAATTGCCCTTTAACCACACAATTTGCATAGAAAAACCACAGATCTAAACATCTAAAAACAGCATTGTCGGCTTCAGATTCAAAATGGAGATTAATCCAATGCTGGATTATCGGGGTCTGTGCGGTGGGTCCAATAACTGTCCTTCACTACCCGGTGATTAACTACGCGACTGTTGGGCCTTCGTTGTTCTTTTTGCTACAAAGGCCTCAAAAGGGTAGGTCGCTGAGGGGTCGGGTGGGGGGGTAGCATTTATTTGTAGTGAAGCTGAGTGTTTTGGGGTCTAAGGACCCCTTCCACATCCTACTATGTTGCTCAATACTTGGCTGCACTCAGGAGGGTAGCTATAATTTAACTTTTAGCTGCCTTACTAAGAAACCCGTTAAACCCAAAAAGGGTAAGGATCTTTAGTCTAAAGTTACGGTAAAGTACCACAAAGTAAAGGGGGTTTTTGGGTGGGGGGGGTGGATCGGTTGGGAATCCAGTTTCTTTGGGCAAACAGGTGTTTGAAAAGTTCGGGTTTGGGAAGGAAGAACCCCCAAGCCCAAAAACCCTAACCAAAACTCTTACCCTAAACTGGCCCTAAACCCTTTTGCACATCGGCCCTTCGGCGGCTGCCGGCAAGCATGTAACTTCTAAACCCTAGACCCTAGACCCTAAACCCTAAACCTGCCTCTTGGAAAGCTGAAGATCCCTCAAGTCCCTGTGGCAACGCCCCCAAAGCTCCGTCTTGCTGCTTGCCCTGCAGCCCTGAATAGCATAAAGACCTCCACGGCCTCTTTAGGGGTTTTAGGGGTTTAGGGTTTTAGGGTTTTAGGGGTTTTAGGGGTTAGGGTTTTAGGGTTGCGGGTTTAGGGTTAAGAAGCCAATGCCCTCTGGCCAACCACCAAACGAGAAACTTACGAAAAGCTAAGCCCTCAACCCTCATAGACTGTCGAAACGCAGACCCGAAGATCCTCCCTAGCTCCACAACACCCCAATCAGACAGCCAGAAGCCCTTCTAAGCCTCTAAACAGGGTGGGGGGGGGGGGGGCTGCACTGTTCAGGAGTGAAGTTAAGAACTTCATGTAGGTTCACCCTAACCCATAAACCCTAAACCCAAAAACCCCCTGTGTCAATAACCCCCCCCTTCTCTTCTCAGCCGCGTGGCCCCGCGATCCTCAGGGGCGATAAGGCGGACGGAAGGTCTTGCGTTTAGGGTTTAGGGTTTAGGGTTTAGGGTTTAGGGTCAGGGCTTTTGTCAGGTTCAGATTGTAGACTTTTCTGCCACCTGTTTAGCAGTCTCGCGGGTCGAAGAACTTTGTTTTTGTTGATCTGCGAAATGGATGCGGCAACATCACAACAGCCATCAATCAGGATTTCCCCTACTACTCCCCTCTCTACTACCTCTGGTAGGTTCCCCCATAATTAAGGCTATTTAGGGATAATTAAGCCTAATTAGGTTTTTTTAAGGGGGGAACCTAGGGGGGGTAGTATGGAGGGGAGGATTGAGATCATGGCTGCAGTATTGTGCGTCTGAAAGAAACCTTCTTTAGCAAGGCTGCCTGATCTAACCCTAAACCCTAGACCCTCAACCCTCAACCCTAAACCCTGAACCCTAACCCTAAACCCTAAACCCCATCTCCCGCTTCTACCCAAAACCCTGAACCCTAAACCCCAAACCCCTTTCTATGGCGACTGTAGGTCTGCCAAGTCCCAGAAGTCACGCCCTGGGAGGGGCTTTACCCTAAACCCTAAACCCTAAACCCTAAACCCTAAACCCTAAACCCTAAACCCTAAGCTTCACAGCCGTGGGGCGTGGTAGCAAACTGCCGAGACCGGGACGCTGATGACCTCACCTTGAGCTTGGCTGCCCAGGAGGACAGCAGCGTCAGCCTCATCATTGCGAGCTTTCGGGCTTGTTTGGTTTAGGGTTTAGGGTTTAGGGTTTAGGGTTTAGGGTTTAGGGTTCAGGGTTTAGGGTCTCGACTCTCGCTGAAGAAGGCAAGGATTCGGTCCGGGTCGCTGACATCAGCTTAGCTCTGGTGCGTCAGCGGGCCCCAATACCAAATTAGAATGCTCCACCCGAAAGGGCGTACAACAACCCACAGAGCCAAGCCTATCTAGATGGGGGTCACTTTGGACTGACATGTCGGGATGCACCTCGGTCGGCGGCTGTCAGCTTCGCTCAGTTGTGTCAGAGGGGGGGCCGAACACACATCATACAATGCTCAGACCAACGAGAACATGAAACAACCCACAGAGCCAGGCCTCTCTAGATGGGGTCACTTTGGACTCTTTGGTTTGGGGGTCGCCTCTAAGAGGTGTTCCAACAACCACATGGTCTTATCGCAGGGTTGAGGGTCTAGGGTTTAGGGCTCAGGGTTTAGGGGGGGGGGGGGGGGGGGGGGGGGGGGGGGGGAATTTTCATCAACCCGAAGCAGTGTAGAGCTTAGGGTTCATACGTCTTGCACTTGCTGCCGTTCACGGTGATTTTCAGGGGCGGAATTCGAGGAAACCTATTTCCTCACCACTCAGAACTAAACTTTTAATCTGAACCATAACCCTAAATCCTAAACCCTAAACCCTAAACCCTCAAATCTTTCTACTTCCCGCCCCTGAAGCGCTGACAGAAACACTCAAAAGCCCTTTTAGAAACCGGACCTGTCCCAAAACCCAAACCCCAAAAGACCTATGCCAACTCCCCTTAGAAACTTCTTAGAACCTAAATACAAAAGTCTTGTTTTATGATCCCTTGGGTGGGGTAGATATATATATATACATATATAATCGTAACAAGAATACAAAGAATGATTCCGAAAGGGGGCGACTATAGGGGCCTTAATAATTAGAATAGGGTTTTGGGGGCATTATTCTAGTATAATGTTAAACGGACTGTAAGGAAACAACTGTTAGTACTTGTTCCGACCCCTATATGGCCGGAAAGTATCCCTAAACCTTAAACCCTAAACCCTAAACCCTAAACCCCTCTATTCCTAGCCTCCTTTGCAGCCCAGGAAGCTCCTGGGCCACGGCACGCGTGGGCCGCGGCCCGCGCTCGACCAGCGCCGTGTAGAACTCGCCCCAGCGCTCGACAGGATCGGCAATGTGACCGGCCGGAAACCTTGTAGGGGTTTAGGGTTTAGGGCTAGGGTTTAGGGTTTTGGGGTTTAGGGTTTAGGGTTTGGGGTTTCGGGTTTGGGGGTTAGGGTTCGCTTAGGGTGTATTTAGGGTTCGGGCTCAACACCCTGAATTTGGCTCTAACAGGTTGGCCTCTTTGTGTTAAATGCGGGTCTGTTTGTTGAGGATTAGCTTAGGAGGACCACCGAGGGCCGTGTTGGGCGGGAACCCCTACATGCGAGCCTGACGCCTCGCAGGCCGACCCTTGCGGCATTGTTAAACTACCCTTGCAACCCTCGCCCTTCGCAAGCTGTCTCACAAACCCAAACGGTTTAGGAATAGGGTTTAGGGCCTAAATCCTAAAGAATAGGGTTTAGGAATAGGGTTGAGGGCCTAAACCCCTATACATCTACAAGCCCTTGATCCCCTAAACCGCCAAGTCGGGGCTTTGTTTGCCTGCGTCTGCCTCTGCCAGAAGCCAACGCGAAGCTCCCTTTAAAGCAGCAAAACTCTGCGGGGTTCCTGTTTAGGGCTTCGGCCCTTGCACTCTCGGCGTCTCTTTCTTTTCTTTTCCTTTCTGTTCTTTGGCTTATGTGTCCTTCTTGGGGCTTCTCTCTCTCTCTCTCTCCCTCTCTCTCTCTCTCCTCTCTCTCTCTCTCTCTCTCTTGCTGTCTCTCACTTATACTCTACCTACCCTGCCCCGAGCCCCCGAAGCCAGGGGCTGCCAGGGAACACATCCTGCAAGAACTTGATGGGCTGATCTTCGTCCAGTCTTGGCGCCGTCGAGTTTGAGGAGCTTGGGCTTCTGGGTACAGGGTTTAGGGCTTAGGGCGGCTTAGGGTTTAGGGTTTAGGGTTTAGGGTTTAGGGTTTAGGGTTTAGGGTTTAGGGTTAGGGTTGAGGGTTGAGGGTTTAGGGTTTAGGGTTTAGGGTTTAGGGTTTAGGGTTTAGGGTTTAGGGTTTAGGGTTTAGGGTTTAGGGTTTAGGGTTTAGGGTTTAGGGTTTAGGGTTTAGGGTTTAGGGTTTAGGGTTTAGGGTTTGGGTCACAACTTGGGTCCTAGGCCAGCTGCCTCACATCGAAATCCACCAACAGAAGGTCGCAGTTACACAGGCGCATTCATGAGCAGCAGCGTCTGGGTAGCTAAAGTTTGCTTCTTTCCTAAACCCTAAACCCTAAACCCTAAACCCTAAACCCTAAACCCTACACCCTAAACGCACATCTTACGGCCAGGACTGCTGCACTGCCCAGGCAACCCTAAACCCTTCTTGACCCTAAACCCTACAAGCGCAGCTATTGTGGTGACAAGGCGATACGATGGATAAATGATTGAACTCCTAGGGCTCCTGTAGGAAGCGACCTAAGTAGTGGGGAAACAAGGGTTTAGGGTTTGGGGTTTAGGGTTTAGGGTTTAGAGGGCTCATCACTTGTATGAGCAAGGCTATGAGCACGAGAATGACTGAGACTAGCACAAGGGAAAGGTGTTGCGTCAACAAAAACATGCAGGGTCCGTGTCTATCAAGTACGGCACAGAAAAATAGTGTTTAGCGCTCACATCCCTGCATGTTCGTCAGCGGAAACCTCACAGAACTGCAGTCGCCGCCATAGCCAGGATCACCCCAGGTCACGGCAGACCCATCGCCCAAAATGGCAACAAAAGCGTGGTCAGTTGCTTGGATCTGCTGAACATCCTGCAGCTGACCTTGCACAGCACTGCTGTTGCCGCCACTGGGAGCAGCACCCCAGGTCACAACGGACCCATCTCGCAAAATGGCAGCAAACGCCCCTTGAGTTGCCTGGATCTGCTGCACATCTTTCAGCTGATCGTTCACATCGCTGCTGTCACCACCACAGTCAGGATCGCCCCAGGTCACGACGGACCCATCGCCCAGAATGGCAGCAAACGCCCGTTGAGTTGCTTGGATCTGCTGCACATCTTTCAGTAGATCGTTCACATCACTGCTGTCGCCACCATAGTCTGGATCGCCCCAGGTCACAACAGACCCATCGCCCAGAACAGCAGCAAACGCTTCTTGAGTTGCTTGGATCTGCTGCACATCTTTCAGTTGATCGTTCACATCACTGCTGTCACCACCACCATCAGGATCACCCCAGGTTATGGTAGACCCATCCATCAGAATGGCAGCAAATGCAACTAGGTTAGCTTGGATCCGCTGCACGCCCTTCAGCTTAGCTTTCACAGCCGTGCTGTCGCCACCAGTGTAGGGACTACCCCAAGTGACAACAGACCCGTCGCGCAGAATGGCAGCAAAAGCTGTGCCGGTAGCTTGAATCTGTTCCACGTCCTTCAGCTGATCGTTCACACTACTGCTGCTGCCACCATAGCCATAATGGCCCCAGGTCACAACAGATCCGTCGCCCAGAATGGCAGCAAAAGCCCACAAAGATACCTGGATCTGTTTCACATCCTGCAGCTGACCTTGCACAGCACTGCTGTTGCCGCCACTGGGAGCAGCACCCCAGGTCACAACGGACCCATCTCGCAAAATGGCAGCAAACGCCCCTTGAGTTGCCTGGATCTGCTGCACATCCTTCAGCTGATCGTTCACATCGCTGCTGTCGCCACCACAATATGTAGCCCCCCATGTCACAACAGACCCATCGCCCAGAATGGCGGCAAACGCCCGTTCAGATGCTTGGATCTGCTGCACATCCACCAGCTGATCGCTGATGTCGGCATTGCAAAAAGGATTGCCCCAGGTCACAACAGACCCGTCGCCCAGCATTGCAGCAAAAGCACCTGGGCTGCTTTGTATGCGAACGCTTCTCATCTGCAAGGTCAGCGCATCGCCCCTCTTCAACCCAGATTCCTCAAGCGTGTCTGCTCCGTCCAGAACGCCTCCGCAGGAGTCCAGGAGTCTGCCACGGCCAACTCCTAAAGACCTCTGCGCCCTGCTCTTCAATGCTTCTACGAGCTCACCCGGTCCTGCTTCCAACGATACCGTCCTGCCACTGAGCAGGCTTACCTCGATCATAAGGGACATGATGCTGTGCAGGCCCTAAACCCGAAACCCCATAAACCGTATAAACCCTACAAACCCTTTCAACCCTATAAACCCTATAAACCCTGGAAACCCCCTAAACCCTAAACCCTAAAGCCTAAAGCCTAAACCCTAAACCCTAAACACTTGCAACGCTCCCCTATTATCACAGCATGCCAGATCCGTGCTGTCCATGTGGGCAGCTCTCGGAGACAAGAAATGTGACACCCTGCTGGCGTACTGTTTTCACGCGTGTGAGGTTTACGGGCTATAGGGCCCTACATACATACATGCATACATACATACATACAGACATACGAAGAGGTTTTTTGTTATACACCTATATATATATGTGTGTGTGTCGTTATGTAAAGTTTGAGATTCATACATACATACATACATACATACATACATACGTACATACATGTCTCTTCGAGAACTTACCGCATACTTCTTGCTTTGCGTGGTGTCTAGGCTTGAAGATCATGGGTTCCCCTGCAGGGAAGCCCATGAAACCTCCTAAACCCTAAACCCTAAACCCTAAACCCTAAACCCTAAATAGATTGGGGTAGCAGGGAAACCCATGAGAGGATGTGCGGAAATCCTGGCCTTGGACCGGCTGTGCCTTTGTAACTTCTAGCAACGGCTAGGGTTTAGGGTTTAGGGTTTAGGGTTCAGGGTTCAGGGTTCAGGGTTTAGGGTTTGTCAATACCCTTCCTTCCCCCCAAGAAAAGGTAAGAGCACCTGTATCTCCCTTATCAGGAAGAATATGTCTTGTTTGTTTGGGGGGTCTTCTTCCGCAAAGAGCAGCTTCGTCTAAGGAGGGCTAGGGGTGCAAGGGTTACAAGTTGGGACGTTCCCCCTTATACTAGCACTACTTAGTAGGGATTATCGTACCCCCCCCCCTTCTATTCCCTATTAAGGGCTGTTAGAAAAAGGGGGACCATCCCAAGGGTGCAACTGTTACGGGTCAGGAGGCCTCTGATGCAGAAAGTCGAGGGGGGGACCTTGTGGTTCACCCGCCGAAAAAAAGCCTCACGGAGGTAACCCAACCATCCCCCAAGCAAGCATCCCCCAACGCTTATAGCGTTTAGGGCTTGGGGTGTGGGGTTTAGGACCCTAAACCCTAAACCCTAAACCCTTCAGCAAGCCACTAACCCTGGCATGTGGCATGCTCAGAAGCTCTTCCGTAGGCTTCGAGAGCATCTCGCTGTCCTCTTTCGGAGGAGGCCAGCCAACCCCTGGAGGCGAAGGGCTTCCTAGGATCCTTGGAGGTTTAGGGTTTAGGGTTTCGGGCCGTTTAGGGCTTAGGGTTTAGGGTTTAGGGTTTAGGGTTTAGGGTTTAGGGTTTAGGGTTTAGGGCTACTTGGAGGTTCATGGTACTTACTACCCAATAATGAGTGTATTTCGAACCCACTCATAAGCCCCTTAAATGCCCTTTTCTGGTTAGAAGTACTGTTCTAAGTACAGCTAGAATTGGTTAATAAGCAGCTTGAACCTCCAAGTCGAACCCAATTTAATTTAGGGCTCTTGCCATTCTACTTAGAATATTACTTGCGTAAGAACCCCTCCTTAAAGATGAAGGATAGTCTTCCTTACAGGGGTAATGCTACCTCTTAATTGCTGAATTCATATGCCCCCCAAGAAAGTGTAAACTTTCAGAGCTTTAGGGGGGGGTATAGTATCCCAAAAGGTGTAGAGTGTACTCATTTAGCTACTAAGCATGTATATGCTATACAGATACCTGGAACCTTAGGGCAAACTCGCGAACGGGACCCTAGACCCCAAACCCTAAACGCTGGCCTCTGACCCTAAACCCTAACGAAAAACCCTGAACCCTAAACCCTAGCAACTGGCCTGTCTTTGCATCGTTGGCTGGCGAAGGCGCGGGCTCCTTGTCAAGTCGCGACTCGGAGTTCCATGTGCAGAGAACCCTAAACCCTAAACCTGAAACCCTAAACCGCAAACCGCAGCAGTTTAGGGTTTGGGGTTTGGGGATTAGCTGGTTTAATCGTAGGGGCAGTCCATACGACCCTTGACAAAGGAAATCATTTGGGTCTGCTTCCTGAAGAATATCGGGTGGACCTACACCCTAAACTCTGAACCGTAAACCCTAAACCCTAAACCCTAAACCCTAAACCCTAAACCCTAAACCCTAAACCCTAAACCCGAAGCCTCGGGGCCAGCTTGAAAAGTCAGGGCAGCCTGGTCGGAGAACCCCCTTCTCCTCCATTACGCCCTATTTGGAAGCCCTGTTTGACGTAGTAGGGGTAGGTGGTTATACGGGGACCAGAATAGGGTTGCTAGGGTAAGGTAGGGTTTCTAGGGGATACTAAGTAGACTTGCTAAGATGAAAAGAGCTGCTAAGTAAGTAGTGCCAAGACCCTACGAAATTATGAGGCCTTGACCCTAAACCCTTTTGCAACAGGCTTGCCACCTCGCCCGGAGTCTAAACCCTAAACCCGTATACCCTAAACGGGTTCAACTTCCACGGCCTGACGCACCTGTAGCGTTTGTGGAGTCAGCCCGTGGGCTGGGTGGGGGTTTTTGTACCCGGGCTTTCTATTTGTTTTAGGTTTTAGGTTTTAGGGTTTAGGGTTTAGGGTTTCGGGTCGTTCAGGAACTGAACCCATGCAGGCGCAGCTGCATCCGCTTCGCAGACATAGTGGGACACGAGTGCAGTCTTCAACCTTGGGATCACGGGACTGACCCTAACTTTGGGTCCTAACTTTAGGGTTTAGGGTTTAGGGTTTAGGGCTACTAGACCCAGGAGTAACCTAGGAATAAACAGGGTGCCCCTTTTTTTGGTTGTAAATTGAAAATAAAGGCCTGCGCCGGGTCCTAGTTTAGGGTTTAGGCCCGCTTGCCTAAGCCCTAGTAGCCTAGTAACCATATCATGATAAGGGCACCCTTATTTTTTGGGTTGGTTTCTTTATAAGGGAACCCAGAACCCAAAAAAAGTGTAAAAGGGTACCACTGGACTACTAAGAAACCCTAAACCCCAAACCAGTAGTCGTCCAGGCCCTGGAGTGGCTGTGAGGTTTCAGGTACCCTTTTTACAGCTAGGACTGCTGCACTTTCAGGTACCCTAAACCCTAAACCCTAAACCCTAAACCCTAAACCCTAAACCCTAAACCCTAAACCCTAAACCCTAAACCCGAACCCTAAACCCTAATCCCTGAACCCAGCTTAGGGGTTCGGATGCTTGGCTGGTGGCCAAGCTTGAGAAAACAGCCCCGCGGCCCTTGAGACCCTACATGAAAGTCCCTATGTAGTGTATACTAGAATCCCCTAGAACTATCACACAAGAAGGAACTACATTAGCGCCTTCAGGTAAACCCTACCTGAGCCCCCAAACCATGTAAATTGTGGGTCCTCTTTTTTAAATAGACTTTGGGCAATGTTTTTACATGCTTTTGAAGGTCCAGGTATGGCCTAAACCCTATAAACCCTAGCCCTTGAGTCTTGGGCATATCTCAGGGCTGGGGTGGTTCCGTGTTTTGGGGGAACCCCAAGACTTCTCCGGTTTAGGGTTTGGGGTTTGGGGTTTAGGGTTTAGGACCTAGCCTTGGAACCTAGCAGGCCCCTTGTTGGCCAGAAGTCGTGGTCGAGGGCCAAGCATCCATGCTTGAAAAAATCAGGAAGCTTCGGTTTAGGGTTTAGGGTTTAGGGTTTAGGGTTTAGGGTTTAGGGTTTAGGGTTTAGGGTTTAGGGTTTAGGGTTTTTTTTCCCACCCGTTTCGCAAGGGTTTAGGGTTTAGGGTTTAGGGTTTAGGGTTTAGGGTTTAGGGGCTGATGGAGAGGTACCCTTGGGGCGACATTGGGGCTACTTAGGTTTAGATAGGGACTACATGGGGGTATATGGGTTACATAACTATACTCCCCTTAGAACCTTAATAAAACCATTATTTTCAATATCCTCTTGGGTTTTATGTAAACAAAAATAAGCAATAATTCCCAAGTGGGATGTAGATAAGGGAATAAGATCAAGGGTCCCTTCTATAATCCCTCCTTGTATCCCTTCAGCCCCAAACCCTGGTGAAGGCCGTCAAACCTACCCTACGCTCTTTTTGATCCGCAGTATGCACGGACTGCATGGGTTTTGCATGGTCCTTCACTTCTGCTCTGGTTCAACAATAGATCGGGCTCTCCGGCCCATTGAACCCTAAACCCTAAACCCTAAACCCCAAACCCCAAACCCCAAACCCTAAACCCTAAACCCCAGACCCTAAACCCTAGCCCTAAACCCTAAACCCCTAAACTATGAAGAGATGATGGAGGTGAACTCGCCCCCTCATCACACGCGAGCCGAGCGGCTGCTGGAGCTGCTCGGATAGAAATGCCTCATAGCGCGCCGCGCCTGCGGTTCATGTAGGGGTTTGGGGGTTTAGGGTTTAGGGCTAGGGTTTAGGGTTTAGGGTTTAGGGTTTAGGCTTTAGGGGCTAGGGTTTAGGGTTTAGGGTTTGGGGTTAGGGTTTAGGGTTTAGGGTTCAAGGGCCGGAGAGCCCGAAGACCGTTTCAGATCGCGGCTCCTGCGGCCACCCTCAAGGATCAAATGGGCCAAGGAAGGGGCTACTGGGGGTTTAGGGTTTAGGGTTTAGGGTTTAGGGTTTAGGGTGTAGGGTTTAGGCCCACGTACCTTCATAGAGATTCTGGGAGTACAGGGTTTCTGCTGCATAGTACAGGATTTAGGGTTATGGGTTTACAATCCCAATTTTCGGGTTCGTTTGGTTTTCGAGGGTGGCGTATGGCAACAAAGGTCCCTGCCTTCTTCAAGGGTTTCGGGTTTAAGGTTTAGGGTTTACGGGGTGTGGTTACAGGGCTTGGGGCCAGAATCTCCTCATCATGAATAAGTGTCGGAAAAGGATGGGCCGAAATACCTGTCCAAGATACCCGCTAACCAGGGTAGACTTCCCCAAGAGTTTTGGGAAAACGCATCATCTATCCCTTTAAACCCCAAACCCTCTATCTCCCTACATACGCCTGTGCAATGATTCTATGGGCTAACCCTCACGAACCCTCTGCTGCTGCAAGAGGCAACCCTAAACCCTTTTTTCTAACCCTAAACCCTAAACCCTAAACCCTAAACCCTAAACCCGCTGGCCTCCTTTGAGGCGTTCCGGGCGCTCGGCCATGGCAGAGGCAGATTCAGACTTCTGAAGCCACAGAGGTCGCCTCTTCTAGCCCTAGACCCTAATTAAACCCTAAACCCTAAACCCTAAACACTCCTAGACCCTAAAGTGCATGCAGGTGCGCAGGCCTCCTACACCCTCAAGCCACAAGCCGAAATTCGGAAGGTTTGGTCGTCCCGGGCTCCCCCGGGTTTAGGGTTTAGGGTTGAGGGTTTAGGGATTAGGGTTTAGGTCGAGACGTGCATGCTCTTTTTCCTTATGCTGCCTGCAACTGCGGAAAGGCGAGCGCGAGGAGAGAGCGCCGAGCCCTATCTTCAGCTGTTACAAAACCCTGCATGAAACTAAACCCTAAACCCTAAACCCTAAACCCTGAACCCTGAACCCTAAACCCTAAACCCTAAACCCTAAACTTCAACTTCGATCCACGGGAAGCTACATAGTCCCTCAAGATGGTCCCTTACCTTCTTGAAGAGTTCTGAAGTATGGGCCCTTGGATTTTACAGGGCACATGAGGGGTATATAAAGGGGTCCCTATTTAGGGGCTCATATTAAGGGATCATGTAACTACCCTCAACTTCGATAGCCCTAAACCCCAATCCACGATTGGGGTCTATAAGGTTTCGGACTTAGGGTATTAGCTTCGGGCAACCGTAGACATTTCCAAAACCCTACGCCACTTCCCGACTCCTAGCCAAGCTGCTTCCGGCGCTGCTCTCCGCAGCTACAACTACTAAAATGCATCTTTCCTGCATATGTACATCCAGCGGGGCTGGACTTCGGAACGCCACACTGCCTCGTGGAACGGCACGGTACTTCTTCTCATGTAAGCCTTCCATCGGCAAACTCGGCTATGCACCGTAACCAAACACAATATCCACCACACACACCCCGCTTTCACCGCAAAAATACCGTGCTGTTCCAGCGCAGGAATAACTTGCTAACAAAACTGCAGCGCAAGCAGCGCACGTCTCTCTACTCGAATCGTGTGGCAAGATGGCAGGCAGCCAATCCGCAAACGAGCAAAAGGGCTTTGTGCAAAACCACAGGCCTTGCTCTGAGTGTTACAGGATTCTGTGGCAAGGGTTTAGGGTTGAGGGTTTACAGTAATCTCCAAAAAGTTGGAACATCCTTCACTGAATCCTTCACCCCAAAAGGTACACTAGAGGGAATCCTAGCTCTAACCATCCTTAAACCATGTTCCAACTGTCTGGAGTTTACTGTTGAGGGTTTAGGTTTAGGGTTAGGATTTAGGGTTTAGGGGTTAGGGTTGAGGATTTAGGTTCAGGAATCCTGTGTCGACAAGTCCTGAAGGACTACTGTAGTTTCCAAACCTTCGGGTTGCCGCCTAGTTTGGGAACAGGGTTTAGGGTTGTGGGTTTAGGGTGTACGGTAGCTTGCTGGTTGCGGCTGCCTCCCCCCCTACCAGTTCTCCGTGCGTCAGGTCCCTCGAAGAGCCATGAGAAGCCTCGTTTAGGGCTTCTGGGGGCTGCTTTTGGGGCGATCGGGTTAGGGTCTAGGGTTTCGGGTCTTGGTTTAGAGTATAGGGGTTCAGGGTAACCCTAAACCCTAAACCGTAAACCCTAAACCCAGAAAGCTCCAAACCTGACCTTACTTGCCTCAGCCCTGCCAGCTTTGCATCCCAGAACCTCCCCCCCACCCCTACCCACAATTCCCCAAGCTTGCTTAGTTGTCCAGTAACCTGGGGGAATTCAAGGTTAACCTTTAGGATTATAAGGGAATTATACTAACCCAAAAAGGTGAAAGGCTACCTTCTCTACTACTAGGCTTGAGTCGGCCTCCATATCCGGTCACCGCACGCGTCTGCACTCTGCCTTGTGATATTTCCATTCCTCCGACAAGTTTGGGTACTTTGCGGGGTTCAGGGCCTGAGGGCTCGGTTTGGTTCTTCTGGGCTGAAAGAGGCTCCTTTCAATTTCACGACGGAAGCCCCGAACCCTAAACCCTAAACCCGAAACCCCCCGAATTTCGACCCGGAGCAGTCCTCCTTCTGACAGACATCGGAGCAGTAAAAGCGGAGTTTGCAGGCGCCGCATCGCAGTCCATCGGCAAAGTCCCCACAGAAACCGCCTGGCGCAAAAGCCCTGAACCCTAAACCCTAAACCCCCAACCCTAAACCCTAAACCCTAAACGGGTTTGGGGCTTAGGGGAAGCGACGGAGCACTCGGATCCCTGAAAGGTAGGGGAGATGGGTTAGGGTTTGGGGTTTAGTGCTTTTGGGTGGGGAGGCTTTGGGCAGTGAGGCGATAATTCAGGTATTGGGGTAGTAGTTTCGGGTGAGGAAGAATGAGTGTGGAAGGGTGATGATTGGGGTAGTAGATGGGTAGGGTAGTAGAGCGTAAGATGTCGGGGTCGTCGGGGCAGGGCATCAAAGTGCGAAGGACGCTGCCTGAACCCTACAAACTCTTATGTCCAAACCTAAACCTTGAGCCCTGCACATTCCTATTGAGGAGTTGCCATTTACAGCGGTCACACACTGGCCAAGCCACATATCCGCGGGCCTCGGCTGAAGCAGAGGGTCGGATGAGGGAGGGGTGTTGTTAATGACCCTAAACCCTAAACCCTAAACCCGAAACCCTAAACCCTAAACCCTAAGGCTCGTTGCGGTTTTGGGTTCAGGTGGCGGGCTTTCGGCTTATGTCGGGCCCGGGGTGGGAACCTGTGTCAGGGTAGTGACATTCCCTTGATGCGGGCCCTCTAATTGGGGACCCTTATATACCGCCCGAAATACCCTATAAAATCCAAGGGGCCATATACTTCAGAACCCTGAAGGGTAAAGAGGCCAAAATCAGGTGCCAGGCCCCTAAACCCTAAACCCTAAACCCTAAACCCCTAAACCCCTAAACCCTAAACCCTAAACCCTAAACCCTAAACCCTAAACCCGGCAACTTCCCTCAAGGCCAAGCGGCAGGAGATGCAACTATGCGCGTTGGCACCCCAGAGGGCATCGTGCCAGTATGGGCCTTCGGAAGTACGAGGAGGGTTAGGGTTTTGGGTTTTGGGTTTAGGGTTTAGGGTTTAGGGTTTAGGGTTTAGGGTTTAGGGTTTAGGGTTTAGGGTTTAGGGTTTAGGTCTAAACTAGGTGGGAGGAGGAGGATTTCCCTGAATCCTAACCCCCAAAAGACATGGGTTTCTTGCAACCTGGTGCAACCCTATGGATTTGAGGGGTCTCTGGCTCCTCAACCACCTACCCAAAATCAGGCGATGAGAAGCCTGGCCTTTTTGTTTTGGGTGGTGGTAGTTGCCAGTTGAGGCATGCAGCCTATACCGCCCTGAAAGCCCAGGACAAAGCTGCACCCTAAACCCTCAACCCCTTTAACAAACCTGGGTTCTCTGAGGTACCGGTGCCGAAGCCCTAAGCCTTCGAAGCCCTCAGCCCCAAACCTCCAAAACACCCTTAAACCTTGTTGCAACTAAAACCCCAAAACCCCAAATAAACCTCACCCCCCAAAAAGAAAAAATTCCCATGTGGGGGTGGCGAGAGGCATGCGTCTGGCCCTGCTGGGGGCGCGGCGCAGCCTACAAGCCACTGGGGGTTTAAGGTTTAGGGCTACGGGGCCTTGCAACCCTTTAGACGCCCTAACCCTAAAGCCTTTCTGAACGACTGGACTGCCCTAAACTTTATATATATATATGTATATATATATATATGTATATATATATATATATATATTTTGCTTTTTTTGGGGGGGTCCTTCTAATTGGGGGGGGGGGGGGGGAGGAGGGTCCTTCTAATAAGGGGGGGGTCTCTAGGTCTGATCTGAAAAGCTTCCCCTTCCAAGTGGAACCCTGAACCCCAAACCCTCAAACCCTCAAAACCTCAAACCCTCAAACCCTTAAAACCCTCAAACCCTTGACCAACCCTAGCCCTTAAACCCCTTTTCTCTTAAACCCCTCAACCCCTCAACCCTTAAACCCTTAAGCCCTTAAGCCCTTAAACCCTTAAACCCTTGAGCCCTTAAACCCTTAAACCCTTACACCGTTAAACCCCTAAACCCCGGTTTAAACCCCTAACCCCTAAACCCCTAAACCCCTAAAACCCTAAAACCCTTGAACCCTTAAACCCTTAAACCCTAAAACCCTAAATCCCGAAAACCCTAAAACCCTAAAACCCTAAACCCTAAAACCCTAAAACCCTAAAACCCTAAAACCCTTAAACCCTTAAACCCTTGAACCCTTGAACCCTAACATGGCAATAAGAAGAACCCAAGGCAGCTGCCGCTTTGTTAAACGGGGGGAAGCACAGCATCCCAAGAGCCAACCGAGTTTAGGGTTTAGGGTTTAGGGTTTAGGGTTTAGGGTTTAGGGTTTAGGGTTTAGGGTGTAGGCTTGCGGGTTGTAGGTTGAGTCCTCAGGATTATTGCTGCTGGTGACTTGTGGCTTTTCGTCACACCGGGGCGAGGAGTTCTCTTCGAGGACTTAGAAGATTCTGAGGTTAGGAGGGTTTATAGGGTTTAGGGCTTGGGTTCAGGGTTTAGGGTTTAGGGTTTAGGGTTTATGGGTGTTACGGTTTTAGGGTTCTCCGCCCCTCCAGCGCCTCCAAGACAATAATAGTAGCAGCCAATCCTGAGCATGACATGGACGTGGGACGCGGGTTTAAGTCCCGGTCACACCCACACGGCACAGGGTTAAGGGTTCAGGGTTGAGGGTTTGTTTAGGGTTTAGGGATATTGGGATGCTGCTCCGCCAAGCCTTTATGACTCCCTGTCGTGCTAGGAAGCATCCCTTAAAACCCTCAAACAGGCCGAAGCCCACAAAGGGGGTTTACGAAAATGAGCGACCTCTAAGAAGACCTCAAATAATAGGATTCCTTTATCAATAGGAACCTAGTAAGGTCCCCCCCCATTTCGGAAACCCCCCACATTTACTTAAGCTGAGTAGAGCCCCCGAAGCTGGCATGCCACCAAGGCTACAAACGCCCAAGCCCCAGGTACCAGGCTGCAAACCCTAAACCCATTTTGCTAACCCTAAACCCTAAGACCCTAAACCCTAACTCCCTAAAACCCTACAACCCCAAAAACCCTAAAACCCTAAAACCTAAACCCTAAACCCTAAACCCTGAACCCTACCGTAGCTCGTGTGTCCGCCCGGCTTGAGGAAGCCCCAAGGCCAAAAAAAGAAGTTAGCATGCTCTTTGCGGCGAGGTTTCGAACCAGGCTCCCCATTGCCTTCAAACCTCAGGTGTGCTCCGAATGTACCCCCCCATTAGTATATTGTCAACATATTTTGCGATTAGCATACTAGTACATATATATATATATATACGTTTGGGTTTCGGGGTCAGGGCGAGAGGTTATTTCATTGGGGCAATTAAGGGGAGATATATGGAACCTAAATCCCTCATTTCCCTACTCAGAGCCAGAAATACGTACGTAATTCTCCCCGATTTCGAAGGGTTCGGGATTGAAGCCGCAACCATGGAGCATCTTCGCCAGCACACGATCCCACCTGGGCCCGACTGTCGGGTTCAACAGGGCTTGGGGGGTTGTGGAGTGGCCCCTTGGAGGTTCATCGGAACTTGCAGAAATAGCAAGGCTCTAAGTATAGTTCCCCTGCAACATGCTTGAAACCCTACTTAGTTTTACCCATGAACTCCTTGCCCACCTCAAGCCCCTATATGAAAAGCACCACAGAACGTTTGGGGGTTTGGGGTTTTTGGGTAAAGGGTTCAGGACTCCAATATTTTGGAGCAGGGATCTAAAGCTACAGCAAAGCACCACAAAAGGATCCTAGAGCAAGCCGAAGAAGGCGCCAAGGAGCTCGGCAGTCGCGTCGAGCCACCAGCGTGGCGCGGGCTCGCCGTCAAACCTTCGATGACCCTACTTGGGTTTAGGGTTTAGGGTTTAGGGTTTAGGGTTTAGGGTTTAGGGTTTAGGGTTTAGGGTTTAGGGTTTAGGGTTTAGGGTTTAGGGTTTAGGGTTGGGAGGTTTCCCCCTTACACTAGCAGTCCTTAATAGGGAATGTAGTACCTCCAATTAGAAGCCCCAGTAAGGACTGTTGGTATCAGGAAGAACATCCCAAACTCCACCCTACTTGGAAGCTCTTTTGACTTTGCAAGTAGGGTAAGTCAGGTTGTGGGGATTATAGGGGTTTTAAGAGAGTTTCTAGGGAATTCTAAGTAGACTTACTACGGCAAAAGAGCTTGCAAGTAGAAGCCTTCAACCCCAGATGACTCGCGCTGCCTTGCGAGAGAACAAAGAAACGCGCTCTGGGTATAATGAGCGTCGGCAAAAGCGGTGTGGGTTTCCGGCTCTTGGCCGAATGTCATGACCTGGCAAGAGACCACTACAACACTGACTTGGCGCCCAGTGGCTTCTTCCAGAAAACATTAGGAGACCCCAGACCCCCCCCAAACCAGAAGCCCCGTTCAAACCCATGCGATCAAGCTCTTGTTTACGACGTTGGCCGTGTGGCACCGTCTCTTCATCGGCATCAGCGTAGGCGCAGGGGGGCAGCATGTGCAGCTCGTTGGCAGTTTCGCTGCACAGCTCCCTGCAGAATGAACCCCACTTGCTTTTCAGGGGTTCAGGGGCTTAGGGTTAGGGTTTAGGGTTTAGGGTTTAGGGTTTAGGGTTTAGGGTTTAGGGTTTAGGGCTTCGGGTTTAGGAGCTCCAGGTGTGGCTTCCGTTGAGGTTCGGTGGGGCCAAAGAACCTCGAGCACACGGGCTGTGACCAATCAACACTCCTGGCAGGCCCTTATAGGGCCGAATCAAGACGGTTTAGGCTTTTTTTGCCACCCGACTAGCCACTGCAAGGCGGGGTCTACTGCACGACATCTTCGGAGAAGGTTGAGGGTTTAGGGTTGAGTTGCAAAGAAGACTACCTTGCGTTTGCATCCTCAACAGGAGCCACGAAGTACGTGGAAGAGCGAAGGATGAGGAACATTTCCCCCTAAACCCTAAACCCTAAACCCTAAACCCTAAACCCTAAACCCTAAACCCTAAACCCTGGGGGAGGTTCAGGAACACGAAACGGGCACCAGCACGTTATTAAGGAAGCCGCATTGAGCACTTTCCCTTCTGAGCTTCGATAACCACGGGAGGCCACGTAGCTTCTACCAAGAAAGAATCGGAAACCTTAAACCTCAAACCTAAACCATAAACCCTAAACCCTAAACCCTAAACCCTACAGTAAACCGACACAGCTATAAACATCCGCAGCGGTTGGACATCATCAACCGTGCTCTCATGTTGTCCTTTGTTTAGGGTTTAAGGTTTCGGGTTTAGGGTTAAGGGTTTAGGGCAGGGTTCTGAGAGCTAGAGGCAGCCGTGGGTTAAACGTAAAGTCCGGGAAGCCGGCGAATATCAGCACAAAACCCAGGACGGTATCTATCCATGAGCCATGAACCTCCCTAAACCCTAAACCCTACAAACTACAAACCCTAAACCCTAAACCCTAAACCCTAAACCCTAAACCCTAAACCCTAAACCCTAAACCCTAAACCCTAAACCCAAACCCTACAGAACTCGGCGCTTTGCAAAGGCTGCCTTGCCTGCACATGAGCCTTGGCTCAGGCCGTTGAGGTCTTCGGGTTTAGGGCCCCCCTTACTATACCAACTGTAGTTAAGGGGGCTTATGACCTAATTTAGGATCCTTATAACCCACTTTAGGGTCCTTATAACTCTACTTATAACTAGGGGGCCCCTCCTTGTAGGAGTTTAAGGCTTGGGGACGCACTCCATCTTCTGCTAGAACTGTTAGATCTGTCTTTCTGAAAACCAAAAGATGGCTCCCCAGAGATGAGAGAAAAAAGACTCACTCTATGAATGAGCTGACTGCTTCGACACTTCCAGTGCAACCTTGCAACCATTTTTACCCAGATATTCCCAAAACCCTCTTTACCCTAGAGCGCCTAAACCCTAAACCCTAAACCCTAAACCCTAAACCCGAAACCCTGGGAAAACTCCCCAGCGCGCCCAAGGTCCAAAGCAATGCAGCGCAGGCCACAAGGCGAACCGCGAGCGCGACTGCATCTTCGCGGAGCCCGACCGCAGGCACTTGCCTGGACTGCTCTGTGGCGAGCAGGGTTTAGGGTTTAGGGTTTAGGGATAGGGAAATGGGCTTCTTAGGGTTCTAGGATCATAGGTGGGTTTGTAGTGGCGTCGAAGAAAGCCAGTCAAAGCTTATCTACAGGAGAGGGGGGGGGGGTCGCCCCAAACCTTAAAACTAGAAGTAACCTGGGGGAATTCAAGGTTAACCTGGGATTGATAAGGGGATTATACTACCCCAAAAAGGCAGGGGATTCGACTGTAAGGGAAGCTAGACCCCAAAACGGGGAATGAGGGCCTAATCTGAGCCTAAGTCTGACTACAGACGGTGTATACAACTAGGCTCCCGAAAGGACACCCCCGTAGATGCACTCACCGAGATATAAAGCCAAATGAGAGGTTCTCTATATCAGGGTCCCGCTTTAGGGTTACATAACTTTGAGAACTGACCACGTATACACTCACCAAGAGAACACAAAATTGTGAACCCGGTTGCATCTGGGCAGGTTTTCTATTTTTGGGTCACGTTTCTGGGCACCCTGACAACAAGGGCCCAAAAAGCTACCACTACCCTAACCCCTAAAACTTAAACCCTAAACACCCTAAAATTCCCTTCGCAGCCGACAGACACATGCGCTGGCTTTCCATTCTGGCAACGGTCTCGCCCCACCTTGCGCGCAGGCGAACGAAGCGAGCGGCCGCTAAACCCACAAACCCTCAACCCTAAACCCTAAGCTCTAAACACCAAACCGGTTTAGGGTTTAGAGAGCGGCATCCCCCAACCCCCAAGCCTGTAACCCCAACAGAACTCAAATCATATTAAGGACCACTATGTAAACAACGGTCTTAATTCAGGGGTATTGGGCTTTTCGGGTAAACCCTAAACCTGGGATATAGGGTTTAGGGTTTAGGCGTGGTGCCGTGCGCCCATGTGGACTTCCTCCCAAAGGCAGAGCCCCGGCTGCAGCGGGTTGGGGAGGAGTCTACTTGGATCCCTAAACCCTAAACCCTAAACCCTAAACCCTAAACCCTAGACCCTAAACCCTTGTTTTGAGCACGGACTGAGGAAGCTGCCGGCAACCTGATAGCAGAGCCTTCCCGCGATCCTATACAAGCAGGGGGGTCTAAACCCTAAACCCTAAACCCTGAAGTAGAATTATCGAACAGTTTATTAAAACAGTAAGCCCACATAGCACCGTACGTACGAGTACCCATGAACCTTGAAGTAGGTCTACATGGCTGGGTTTAGGATGTCTACAGGGTTTCGGGTTGATTTTTGTTAGGGTTTAGGGTTTAGGGTTTAGGGTTTAGGGCTTAGGGTTTAGGGTTTAGGGTGTGGCAAGACAATGAGAAGAAGGGGCCTGTAGTGGCCAACGCGAGGGGCGCAGGATTGGAAATCTGTGAAGTTGAGGATGGCACCTTGGTGTCCAGCGCATGACTACCTACTACCTGGGACTCTATTTACCTGCAGCTTAGTAGAAGCTACCCCTTTATTGGTAGGCATAAGCCATATAACTTTAGGTAAAGACAAGTCCCAGGTAAACCCAGTAAGTCCAAGCCCTTCTACACTGCAAGGCCTGCGACTTGTTTCTCTTGTCAGGGGCCCTCGTGAGGCGCAGGGTTTAAAGGCACAACTCTTTACAAACGGCAAGTAGCTGAGGGCCCTTGTAGATCTGCAAGCCCCCCTAGCTCCAAACCTTAGACCCTCAAAACCCTAAACCCTAAACCCTAAACCCTAAACCCTAAACCCCACTCCTCTCCACTTGTCGTCTCCTTGCAACGACGCGTGCTCCACCAAAGCTGGAACTCCCCAATCAAGTGCCTTGGTTTCTTATGGTTTGAGGTCCCAGGGCACACCTAGAGGGTATAGGGTTTAGGGTTTAGGGTTTAGGGTTTAGGGCTACTAGACTAACCAAGGAATAGCAACAGTGCCGCTTTGGGTTCACAGGGGCCTAAACAGGAACCCAAACCCTGAAAAAAGGGAATCAGGGCCTACCCTGGGTCCAAGTAGAGCCTTCAAGTACTTCTTGAGAGGCCGTGAAACCTCTGATAAGAATGCTGTTTGGGATGTTTCCCCCTTATACTAACACCCCTTAGTAGGGAATGATAGCAGGGGGTACTATATAATCCCTGTTAAGGACTGTCAGCAAAAGGGGGAACATCCCAAAATACTGTTGCCGCCCTTCTTCGGATGTACTTGGCAGGTGCAGGTGCAGGTTAGGGTTGCGGATGCCTTGGCGATGGAGACGTTCCAACCACCCTAAATGCTAATTACCCAATTGCACCGCAACCCATACCTTCAACGCACCGAAGCTTAGGTCTCCTGGTTTAAGAGAGACCTTTGGGGCTGCTGGGTCATCTCTAAAGCTACTTGAAGGCACAACCCACCTAGTCCCCTCGTCCTACACAGGCCTGCGAGGGACAAGAGTGTCTACAATCCCTCCAAAGGCTTCAACCTTGAAGCCCTTCATTGTAGCTGAGCTCAGCCTTATAAGACGACATGAAGGAGGTCGAAAATCTGCAGAGAGAGGCAGTCTTTTGACATAGGATCATATTAAAAGCATGCTTGGCGCATGCATGGCCCGAGCTGCAGCAGTCCACCCCGTAGCATCTTGAAGTCGTCCACCTCACTGGCGAGGGGGGGTCTTGGGAAGCCTTTTTGTTTTGCTTTTGTGTTTTTTGGGAGGGGGGGAGGGGGAGGGCTAGCGTTGACGTAAGTTTAGGGGTCAATGACGGTTCTTTTCCTTTTGCCACCCACAGTTGAGCATGCTTAGGGTGTAGGTAAAAAAGGCGTAAAGAAGACTTCTAGGGGTCCTCACGATCCACACAAAGTGTGGTGCTGGGCACATCTGGGTCTGCATCCTAAGAGTTGGGTCCCAAGACGAGCACCCATTCTGTAGAAGACCACCCCCCCCCAAAGGTTTATGTAGGGATATAGGGAGTTTCAGGGGTTTAAGTCTCTTCAGGGCTCAGGGTTTAGAGTGTATAGGGCTTAGGGGGAACGGCGTGCTCTTGTCTTCATAGGGTCCGTAAGGGGTAATGAGGGGGTAGGTGCCTACAAAAGCTTAGGGAAGCTTAGGGAGCCGGAATGAGGGAGTAGTGGGGAGGATTGGGGAACATTGGGTCACATACCCCTTGACCCCCCTTGAGCCCCCTAAACCCTAAACCCTGAACCCTACACCCCATCCCGTATATATATATATGTATATATACATGTATATATATATACATATATATATATATGTGTATATATATATATATACACATACATATAGATATACCCTACAATTTAAAGTGTATCCTGTGTAGAAAATGAAAAAAACTGAAGATGCAACGCCATCGCCAAGAGACAGGGTACATTGCCATTGCATAGAGCTCCTGGGACGTGCAGGTGCCCACTCCTTCTCAAGCCTCTACTTGGAAGCCCTTTTGACTTAGTAGGTTGGGTGATTACAAAAGGGTTTCTAGGTACGAAGTAGACTTACTTAGTCAAAACGAGCTTCTAAGTACGACCGTCCTAAATCAGGCCATCCCGCGCGGGGCCTTTAAGGTCATAATTTAGGGTTTAGGGGTTTATAGGGTTTAGGGTTTAGGCCAAGGCCCGCTAAAGGAGGTAAGGGACCATACTATTCAGGGACCAAGTGACTGCCCTTAGATAGGGTCCAAACCCAAAGCCCTCGGCTTCAGGGTTCTGGTTCTATAAGGGAGATGTGAGGCACCGGATTCCCAGTTCCACAGCCCTTTGAACAGGAGCATGCCCTGCACTACACTAGAACCCGCCCAGTCACCAGCCTGTAACAGGGGTGCCCTTTTTTAGGTTGGTTACTTCACATGTGAACCCGAATGCCTAAACTCCAAACGATTCATTCGCTTTAAGGAGCGTTGGGTTCTTTGTGTCGCAAGATGTCGAACCCTGCGCTTTTGCCAGGTGCAAGCCTGCCAGCCCTGCGCTTAGGGCCCTAGGCCCTTCCTAAAGTCCAGACCCTAAACCCTAAACCCTAAGCCCTGAACCAGTGGGTTCCTGCACCCAAAAAAGTTTAGGGCTTTCGACACTCACGATCTCTCACGCTTGGGCTGTCGAGCAGCCATTGCCAGGCTCGCAGGGTCGTAGTACTCGCAGGTGACGGTTCCTGCACGGAGGGCGCGTCGAGCCTCCCTGAACTCAGAGCGCTTGGCGATTTGTCCTTAAGCTAGACCCCTCAAATGAGAATGCTTGCTGATTTTTGCCTTAGACTTTCCTCGGGCTCGAAGCATTTTATGAGGACCTACAGGCCCCCAAGCCTTGCGGCTCTGTGAGGGCTGATGTCCTGCATGGGCCCTGTCGAAACAACATCGATCATCAAGAAAGCCCTATAACCCTAAACCTTCGCAGGCAATGCGCATGTGCATAGCCGGAGATGGAGCGACCCACGCTCTGGAACCCACAGCCCCCGCGACTGACCAACTGAAGCTGTGTAGCAGGGATTCCCCCAAGACGAGCAAAAACCGGCGAGCAAACCCTGTAACCCTAAGGGTCCATGTACCTAAATAGGGGATACTTGGGCCTTAAAGTACTTCCTATTTAGGGACTTTGGGGGAAGCCCCCCTGGTGTACAGTTCCGTCCTGCGCGCCCCTGGGAGCTTGACTGCTCCCGCTCCTGCTGCGTGATGCTCTCCTCCCGGGAGGAAGTCTCAAGGGGGGGGGGGGGGGGGTCCCTTACTGCTGGTGGGTTCGCTCTCTCTTCAACGAGCTGTGCCAGAACTGTGGAGGTTTCATGAGGCTTTAGGTAACACATCCCCAAACTTCGAGCACCCTCTTGTGCAAGCCCCTCTTATTGACCCTAAACCCTAAACCCTAAATCCTAACTCCCTAAAACCTAAAACCCTAAACCCTGAACCCTAAGACCCGAAACCCTGAAACCCCACAACCTGAACCCCTAAACTCTAAAAACCCTAAAACCCTAAAACCCTAAAACCGTAAAACCCTAAAACCCTAAACCCTGAAACCCTAAAAACCCTAAACCCTGAAACCCTAAAACCCTGAAACCCTGAAACCCTGAACCCGAAAACCCTAAACCCTAAAACCCCAAACCCGAAAACCCTAAACCGCTAAACCCTAACACCCAAAAACCCCTAAACCCTGAAACCCTAAACCCTAAACCCTCAACCCTTACCCCTGAAACCCTAAAACCCTAAAACCCTAAAACCCTAAAACCCTAAAACCCTAAACCCTAAGCCAGAAATCCCTCAAACCCTACACCCTGGGTCCGCGACCTCATCTGCCAGGGGATCTTGCCATCGGATGCGCAGCTCCTGCCATGAGTTCTAGCTGCCACTGAGAGGTTCATGGTACCAATTATAACTGTACTTTAGGGTTTAGGGTTTAGGGGTACTTATTTGCCAATTATAGCTGTACTTAGAACTGTACTTATAAACATATTCGGGCACCTAAGGGGCCTGTAAGAACCTCCCAGTAGCTGCCAGTGCTCAGAAAACCCAGGCGAGGTTTGGGTTTTTGCATCTGGGCTCTCAGGGCTTTCCAGGGTATTTCTGACGGCTCAACCCTAAACCCTAAACCCTAAACCCTAACCCCTAAACCCTAAACCCCAAACCCCTAAACCCTAAACCCCCCAAAACCCATCAACAAAAAAAACCGGCCCTCTCTTGGCGGCTCCGTGCTCGGAGGCAGGTCGACGCCGCGAGGCGCGCGGTGGGGCCGGTCGTAGGCCAAGATCTGCCGGCGGAGGTCAGAAAAGTATAGCAAATGAATATGGGTGGTTTCCTAAACTAGGGTCCCTTTTTCTGTAGCCAGTATAAGGCGGCACCCCTTTAAAAGGGATCCCAAAACGGGACCCTAATTTAGAGAACTACCCATATATATGATTATCCCTAAAGAGTCTCTATGGTTTAAATTTTCGAAAAAAGATGTCTAATGAATTTGAAGCCGCTTTTCGGGGCGTTGCACATGTTTCCGTTTCCGGCGCAGTATATGTGGCTGCATATTTCCTGGCGGAGCGCAAGCGGAGGTCTGCAGAGGTTGTGGTGTTTCTAGCCCCTCCCCCTAATATTACACCCCTTGGGCGTCTGTCCGTGTTATAGCGTCCTTATGGGGCTCTACCTACAGTAAGCAATCTATAGTACACTGAGATCAACCCTCGCGTGGACACATCTGCTCGCGCATGTGCACCGGTTTCTTCAGAACCCAAACCCTAGCCAAAAACACCACAGAGACAAAATAAAAGCTTCCCTCCTTCTAAAGGGGGTATCAGGTACGAAGCTCCCTCAGAACCCAGAGGAGCTACGGTACGCAACCCAAGGGCCAACTTCAGCGCTTTGGTCGGCAAGCGGAGGTTGTGGAGGATGCCTCGGAATCTAGGGTTTAGGATTTATAGGATGTAGCATTAGGGTTTAGGGTGGTTCAGGGTCTGCTGTCTTAGGGTAGTCGCAAGGGCCCGATAAGTGTGGGCCCACAACCTATGCAACCCAGGGGCCCATACTTCAGAACCCTTTCAAACAAAAGTATCGGCCCATGTTAAGGGACCATGAAGCCCTCAACCCTAAACTTTAAACCCTTAGATAGGGCGTGATTGGGCTGAGGCTTGTCGAGCCGCTTTGGGCTTAGCGGGCAGATAGAGCTTAAAGGGTTTACAGGCTTAGAGGGTGTGTAATTGCTACGTGGCTTTGTACTTGGAGGTTGTCTAGGGGCACCACGTAGACTTGCTAAGTCAAAAGAGCTTCCAAGGAAGGATTGTGGACTGTTGAGACTACCTTGCGGATGTTTGGGGTTTCGGATGAGGTTTAGGGTTTAGGGTTTAGGGTTTAGGGTTTAGGGTTTAGGGTTTAGGGTTTAGGGTTTAGGGTTTAGGGCTTAGGGCTTACTAGTTCATGGTTGGGATAGTATTAAAATTTTAAAATTATATTCCTTATTGGGTTTAAGTACCCTTAAAAATGTAAAATGTTACCCAACTACGACAAAGCTTAGGGCTTAGGGCTTAGGGCTTAGGGCTTAGGGAATTGGAAAATTCAAAATGCTAACTTCATCGCGGCCGCACAGTAGCCGATCGCGACGGGCCGGCCAGACGCATTTCATACCTGGCTGGAGCCACATGCCCCTTTGAAGCCTCGAACTCCTCAAGCTCCCACTATGCCCGCCACTCTCAAAGGCCAACACATAAACCCCCCCCCCCCCAACAAAAAAAAAAAAAAAACAAAAAATCCCAAGCCTATAGAAACTCTAAACCCAGAATCCCTTTGCCTACGGAGCCTTTTCCTGATAGGCCGAAAAATGGACCACCGTGGATTTGGGGGCGCGGCCCTGCCAAAATTATGTGGGCTCTGAGTAGGGTTAGATAGGAATATACAAGGAGGGGCCCCCTAGATATAAGTAGAGTTATAAGGACCCTAAATTGGGTGATAAGGATCCTAAATTAGGTAATAAGCCCCCTTAACTACAGTTGGTATAGTAAGGGGGGCCCCTCCTGGCAACGCCTAAACCCTGAACCCTATACCCTAAACCCGAAGACCTGAACGGCCTGAGCCACCTCCTTGCAGGGCCCCTGGAATCCTAAACCCTCTTTGCATCCGGGCTGTAGGCCTAAACCCTAAGCTCTGGACCCTAAACCCTAAAACCTGAACCCCCTCTTTTGCATCCGGGCTGTAAACCTAAACCCCAAACCCTAAACCCTAAACCCCAAACCCTAAACCCTGAAACCCTAAACCCCAAACCCTAAACCCTAAACCCCAAACCCTAAACCCCAAACCCCAAACCCCAAACCCTAAACCCTAAACCCTAAATCGCGAGGCCGAGTCGCAGAGAGGGCTGGTCGGGCACCGCAGAGGCTGGAAGGGCAGCAAGGACCTCCACAGAGGGCTCGGCCCTAAACCCTAAACCCTAAACCCTAAACCCTGAACCCTAAACCCTAAACCTGTTGTTTCAGGGCTTCGGTTCTTGGGATGCTTCGGGTCTTGAGCTTTCGGAGGACTTCGGAATTCAGACTTCCGGATGTACCACCGAGATTCCTAGCTTACGCGTTTCAGGGTGTAGGGTTTGGAGCTTGGGGTTCAAGGTTAAACCCTAACTAAACCCTAAACCCTAAACCCTAAACCCTGAACCCTGAACCCTAAACCCTAAACCCTAAACCCTAAACCCTAAACCCTAAATAAAATACCAAGCTGACAAATTATCGATTGCTATGAAAACATGACAGGCAATAACTCCTCGATGTGAGCAGCATGTTACTGTCAAGATGCAACTGCCTCCCTGGGAAGGGCTACCCTAAACCCTAAACCCTAAACCCTAAACCCTAAACCCTAAACCCTAAACCCTAAACCCTAAACCCTGTGAGGATTTGTGGTGCTTAGTGTTTGACTCAAGGCTGGAACTGGAGCTCCGACAGTTTTGCGGCTGGAGGTCGTACGAGTAAGTTGCGATTAAACTTAGACTCTTCCTTGGTCTTCTCCGCCAATCTGAGAACGAGCACGCCTCTGAAACCTAAACCCTAAACCCTAATCCTAAACCCTAAACCCTAAACCCTAGAGGGGAGGGGTGCTAAGGTTAGTCTACGATGCGATGCAGGTTGCTATCAGCCGGGGCGCCCTCGTCGCGCCGTCTCTAAGTCTTCGATTGAAGCCTAGGGTGGGCTCCCGGGCAGGTTTAGGGTTTAGGGTTTAGGGTTTAGGGTTTAGGGTTTAGGGTTTAGGGTTTAGGGTTTAGGGCTTAGGGTCCACAGGATGCCAAGGACGCATTTTTGTTGGAGGCAGGCGGTCGAGTAGGCTGAAAGGGTGACCTCCTCCCCTTGCACCAGGGAGCCACAGGGGTTTCCGGCTGATACAGCGGTCGCCACTCCTGGGCCGAAGATGCCAAGTCGGGCGGGCGTAGTGCAAACCCAAACAGGGTCCTACTAGACTCTGCTTCCGACCTGCTAGCTTCCCTAAACCCTAAACCCCAAACCGGGGCCTTCACTCTTTGTTAACGCCGGACGCGGTGCCGCATGCCCTGTTCCAGCGCAACTGCTCGCAAGATCCCTACTTGAACCCGTGACTGACACACAAAAAACCCTGAGCCTAAACCCTAAACCCTAAACCGCAGCCACACCTTCATCGAAGACAGCTGAACTCAAAATTTATGGGGCCTTGCAGTAGGGGTAGGGTGGCTTCAGACACTGCAGCTCGCCAGTTCTAGAGGTTGGGCCACCTGTAGGGTTTAGGGTTTAGGGTTTAGAGTTTTAGGGTTTAGGGTTTAGGGTTTCTGGTTTAGGAAGGCCAAGAGCTCCACGCCCAAGTCTCCACAGTGAAGGACTTGGACACGGCGGCGCGCACAATTCCCAAGTTGGAATCCTGAGCACCCTATAGCTTCCCAGCCCCGACGCAGGTCCGTCAGTGTTTCCAGCTTCCTTTAGGGTTTAGGGTTTAGGGTTTAGGGTTTAGGGTTTAGGGTTTAGGGTTCAATAACATCGCCGAAGTTTGATCACCCCTCTTCTTTCCCATGCAACTCCGAGCGGGGTTGAGGGTTTTGACCAAAAAAAGGCTCTCAACAACCGCAGTGACAGGAAGACGCTGCGCGGTGGGTCGGTGGTCCCACAGGTAATCTGGGAATCCTCCACTGCCAACCCTAATCCCCAACGCCAACCCTAGACCACGTCCCTGCGCCAGCCCTGAAAAAAAAGGTCCGGTTGCAGATCAAGGATCGTTGCTGTCTCGCTGAAGCTTCTGGTACTCCACAGTGTTGTTGAACTTTCCTCACTTGATCTTCCCCACCCTCTTCAAGCCCCAGACTACGCTAAACTCTAACCTAAACCCTAAACCCTAAACCATAAACCCTAAACTTGAAGCCTCGAGCTCTGAAAACCCTAAGCCCTACACCATACGCCCGAGCAAGGACTTTGCTGGAGAAAACGCATCAGGGGCTTCGGGCTTATAGCAATGATGATGGCCCGGGTTCATTGAGGCTTTGATAGGGTTTAACTTGGGCGTCAAGGGCTTCAAGAAGGATTGCTTCGGGTTTATGCCAAGAATGTCTAGGGGTTGGAGTTTATGGGGCATACTAAGGGGTTTAAAGGGTTTTGGCAAGGCTTACTTGGGCTTGATACGCTTTATACTGAGAAGGTCTGGGGTTGGGGTTTATGCGGCTTACGTAAGGTTTTACAGGCTGCCCTAAACCCTACATCCTAAACCCGAAATCCTACAGCCTAAATCTAAACCCTACGTAACAAGGTCTGGGTTTTCGGGTCTTGCCTTGCTGCGCAGGGGCGGCCCCTGGCCTGACCCCCCTGGCCCCCCCTGCCCCCTGAAACCTCCTCTGGTTTGCTTCTCTGCCTGAATCTCCTTGAAACCTTTGACTCTCGGACCCAAACCCGAATTGATGAAACTGAATAAGTTTTTTGAAGTGGACTGTTGCCTTGAGTTTAGGCCTAAACCCTAAAAGGAACAGGTTTGGGTGGCTTTGCCGCCTCGGACGGTGTGGGGTGGGAGAAAAATGTTAGATGGGCTTCCACAATCGGGCCAAGGCTGCTCTTCGCGCCTCACGAAGCTTTCGAGCTTTTTTCCAAAACCTAAACTTCACAGCATCTACGCCCTATCACAGCAAACCCTAAACCCTAAACCCTAAACCCCAAACCCTGACCCTGTATGGGGCTTATAAGTTGGGCCTCGGTGTGGAAGGCAGGCTGGGCCCCCCAGCCAGTCATGCACACCTCGAGGGCGCGCATGGCATCGGCGCGCATCTCCTGATCGCCCGCGAGCATGGCGAGAGAGGAGCAGGAAGCCTGAATAGCCTAAACACTAAACCCTAAACCCTAAACCCTAAGCCCTAAACCCTAAACCCTAAACCCTAAACCCCACAAAGCCATGGCACCTGGAAGAGTGTATAGGAAACCTGATCCGGGGGCACCCCAAGCTGTAGGGTGCCAGATACTGAGGCTGTGGTTTGGGCTGCTTCGGGACTCTTCAGGAACATCCCCCTATAAGCCCTAAACCCTAAACCCTAAACCCCCTATAAGCCCTAAACCCTAGACCCTAGAAGCCCCAGCACCAAAGAGCTCGCACATGATCAAGCCACTTCGTCTTGCTGCCTCCCCGGTAACAAACCAAACGCTGCGGCATGCAGGACACAGTCACGCTCCACGCAAACCGCTTTAGGGGACCCAAAGCCCCCCCCCCCCCGCCCCCCAAAAAAAGGATAGCAACTCCGAGATTGCCCTTATAAGGAAGGGTATATGTTTTTTTTTTTTTTTGGGGGGGGGGGGGGGGGGGGCTCTTCAGCAAATAGTACTATATTTAAAGAACTGAGGATATGGTGGGTTCTCCGAATTAGAATCCCTTTCTTGGTACCCTCAATCAGAAAGGGGCCCCCTGATTTACGAAGGCCCCAAAAGGGACCATATTGTAGAGACATCACCATATGTATCACACACATATGCTACACTCTCTATTTTACCCTTTGTACTTTGTATAGAGCTCGGGGTCTGAAATCGTGTATCCTGCAAAACCTCCACAAAGCCCTGTAAACGCTACCCCCTTTCTTTGGTGCCGGCCATGTTCCAAAGGTGCGTGAGACATTCTAAGGGGGGCCCTACGTTTGCGAGTTCGACCGTCTCGGGAGGTTTGCTTGGAGGTTCGGGTCACTTCAAGTTGGGTTGTACGTGGGGTAGATAGGGCCATCATTGGTGGCCACCTACTTCGGGTACCTATACCCCTGCATATACGTACCGCGACCCTCCAGCGCTCATCTCGCTTTTGTCGCATCACCTTCGGCCATTCATGGGTTGAGGAGGATGTTTTTTTTTTTTTTTTTGGGGGGGGGGGGGGCTGGCTGCTTCAGGAAATGGAGTGGATGATGCTCCCCCCCAACAACGGCAGATGACCAAGTACCAGCATGGCAACACGATCACGGCCCCAACGACAGGACATTCCAAGAGACCCTAAACCCTAAACCCTTATTATTGTATCAGAGAGAGAGACAGAGATGGAGAGATGGAGAGCGAGCGAGAGGGAGAGAGAGAGACAGAGAGACTGAGAGAGATGGAGAGCGAGCGAGCGAGAGAGAGAGAGAGAGAGAGAAACCCTAAACCCTATTCAATGCCCTTGGAGGCCCATTTAGCTCGTCTTCACATGAGGGTTTAGGTGTCAAGGTTGAGATGTCAAGGTTTCCGAAAGATAGGGGCACCGAGTCATCGAGAATGAGGATGCTTGAAAAGTTGGAGGCATTCTTGGAGGGGGGGGGGGGAGGGGGGGAGGGTTAGGGGTTTAGGGGTTTAGGGGTTTAGGGGTTTAGGGGTTTAGGGGTTTAGGGGTTTAGGGGTTTAGGGGTTTAGGGGTTTAGGGGTTTAGGGGTTTAGGGGTTTAGGGGTTTAGGGGTTTAGGGGTTTAATTAGGGTTTAGGGGTTTAGGTTTAGGGCCGGTTGGAAATACCCATGTCGCCGCAAGCACTGGAACCAGAAACCTCTTTGATGGACACGCGTTCCGCCAAGTCGGCAAATCCTACCATAGTCCGCAGCTTCGTCGTCGCGGCTTCCAGATCTGACCCCGGCAGAAAAGACAAGCGCAGACCCCGGTGGAAACCCTAAACCCTAAACCCTAAACCCTAAACCCTAAACCCTAACCCTGAACCCTACACCCTAAACCCTAAACCCTAAACCCTCTCCAGACTCCACTCCATTCCGACATCCTGCTTCTCACACGGCTGCCCCTTGTGCTGCAGCCATTAAGCACGGGTTGCCCCCATGCGGGGTCCGGAGGCTTTAGGGTTTAGGGCCTTTAGGGTTTAGGGTTTAGGGTTTAGGGTTTAGGGTTTAGGGCTTAGGGCTTAGGGCTGTGGCTGTGCTCAGTCTTGCGGCGTGCGCGAAGGTAGTTTAGACAGATACCTTATATCGGGGGCCTGAATAAGTAGAAACAGGGTTTTGGGGGTTCTTACGGTATAATTGTGTCGGGACCATAAGGGAGTACTATTTGCAATTATTCGACCCCTGTATTACTTCTTCTGTGGTTAGAAAATCAGGGGCGCGCAACAGGGGACTACCCTTAAAGCCCTGAACCCTCAAACCCGTAAGCCGCAGATCGAACCAAAGAGCCCAAGAGCTTCATAATGATGCAGGAGACCTCGAAGCAGGGGGTTCACGCCACCTCGCCAGGACCTGCGGGGTGGAAAGCTCGTGTAAGGGGTTTAGGGTTTAGGGTTTAGGGTTTGGAAAAACCCGAAATCACGGACTGATGAGCACAGGGCTTTTGTCATCGGTCAGAACTCCCAACGTGGGGTCTAAGAGTTTCTTTCATGCAGCCACAAGAACACCCTCTTGGTAACCCAGTGAGGAACCTTAAACCAAAAAAACAAGTGGTGCCACTGGGCTACCCAGCCCTAAGCCAAACAAAAACGGAACCGTTTTGCTTTCTCAGTTTTCTCAAGAAGGGTTGGGATGAATCCGCACCTGGGCTCATCCTGCGAGTAGACGACGCGGGCCAATCGGACCTGCAACGTGAATGTAGGCAGGGTTTAGGGTTTAGGGTTTAGGGGTTTAGGGGTTTGGGGTTTGGGGTTTAGGGTTTAGGGTTTAGGGTTTAGGGTTTAGGGTTTTGGCGCGAGGGTTTAGGGTTTAGGGTTTATAAGGTTGATCACCGGGTTTAGAGTGTAGGGTTCAGTTTTTGTTGCCACAGGGTACAACCTTAGGAGTCCAAGGTAGAGTCGGGGTTTGGGGTTCGGGGTTTCGGTGGCTTAGGGTTTAGGGTTTAGGGTTTTTGGTTTAGGGTTTAGGGTTTAGGGCTTTTCGAGGGCTTGGGGCTTCGGGGTTTGTAGGGCTTTGGAGGGTTTTGGCCTGTGGGCTTTCGAGCGCGTTTTGGGGCGAAAAGGGTTGGCGATGAAGGGTTTAGTGCTTCGGTTTTGGGTTCGTGAGAGTTTGTGTCGGTTGGTTAGTGTTCGGGGTTTGTGTAGGGGCAATTGTGGGCTACTTAAGCGCAAAAGGACCGACCGTATAAACCCAAGATCCCAATCGACAATGTAAAAGTTGATGTCGGGCTTTTGCGGGCTTGTGGGACTCATGTGTTTGGGGACCCTTTCTGAAGATCTTCGAAGGGAATATGATGGCCGTAATGCAGGTATAGCAAGCGAGCCACTTAGGGTACCTGAGGGTAGTTTCATGGGCACTTAATGTGGTCCCTAACCTCCTTGAAAGGATTCTGATATATGGGCCCTTCATGTGCATAGGGCTTGTAAGGGTTATGTACTGGGTACCCTTTTAATGGCCCATACTAAGGGACCATGAAACTACCCTTAGACCCTAGCTAAACCCTAAACCCTAAACTCTAAACAGTCACACGCGGCCTTGGGCTCTTCGGGCGGGTCAGGTCCGGTTCCTTGGCATGCCGCCGCAGTCCATCAGCGGAGGGTCCATTCCGGTTTAGGGTTGAGGGTTTAGGGTTTGGTTTTGTTCTTGCCACCCGCCTAGGGTTCTGGGTTTTGGTTTTAACTTTCGGGTCCTCTTTTGCCAGCCCCGATAGCACTTGTGTTTCTAGGCTGTAGGGTTACCCAAAACCCTAAACCCTAAACTGGCCAGTGCCAATGGGAGTAGGGTTTGGGATCCCGCATAGCTGGGCGAAACGCAGGGCAGGGCTGCACTTTTCCTGTTGAGAGAAAAAAAGGCTCAACATGCGTTTAGAATTTAGGGTGTAGGTTCTTAGGGTCGGGTCTGGGGTTTAGTTTTTTGAATTTCATTCTTTGCGTGCATGTGTGTGTGTGTGTGTGATTTTTTTGCGGGGGGTGGGAAGCAAATGCAGGGAGTTGGGCGGTTCTGTGCTGTAGGTCTGCAGGGTTTGAAGTCTTCAGGCTTACGGCGTTAGGGGTTCAGGGTTTCAGGGCTTTGAGGGTTGTAACGGAGGCTTACAGAGGCTCCACACAGAGTTCTGTAAGGGTAAACGAACCGATACTTTCCTCCAAAACCCCCTCAAAATCCTCAACCCTGGACCCTAAACCCTGAACCCTGAAACCCTAGCAAAGAGCCCGCATTTCATGGTAAACGAGCCCAGAAGGGCCCGGATGTGGGCACAACGGCAGACAAGCAACCACCCGAGAGCCGGGAAGAGACGGCCAACGATGCCATGGAGGCCTAAAAGGTCTGGTCAGGGTTTAGGGGTTAGGGGTTGGGGGTTAGGGGTTAGGGTTTAGGGTTTAGGGTTTAGGGTTTAGGGTTTAGGGTTTAGGGTTTAGGGTTTAGGGTTAGGGTTTAGGGTTCGGGGTTTGGGGTTTAGGGTTTTGGTTTTTGCCACCCGTCTGGCCACAGCACTGTGGGGTTAGCTTGTCGGAGAAAAGGTCTGGTTACGGGTCTAATTAGGGTTTAGGTTTTAGGTTTAAGGTTTAGGGTTTGGGGTTTGGGGCCCAAAGAGCCCAATACCACTTAATTCAGGAATCTACATTGATTTAGATATCTAGGATCATACTATTCGAATATGGAAATACTATGACAATATAGTCTTGCCTTGCTAATACAGTATATTCGACTCCCTAAGCCTTATAAGCCCCTTTTGCTCCCCTATCCTCGCATCACCAGCTGAGACAGTGACGATCGCATAGTTGGTGCAGGGCACCTGAAGCACATGCTCTTCAGCAACTAGAGCGCGTCGCATTTGGCCCTTATCATGTGCACAGATGTTTCGTTGTGCATGTGATTGCATACATATATAAATATACCTATATATATATACATATATACATTTATTTATTTATATGCATACGTGTATATATATATATATATGTATATATATATATATATATATCTCTCTTTCTAATCTATTTATATATATTTATCTATACATTTATTTTTTTATGTGTACATATTCACATATGCATGTATTTGTACACCTTTCGTTTAGGGCTTAGAGTTGAACAAGCAGGTATGAAGCATCCTGCACGGCGATGCAGCCATGTGACAGACAGGCCATTCAAGTCCTGCTTCGTCGTTGGCCAACGTGTCCTCGCAATTCAGCAGTCAGTAGTTTTTTTTTTTTTTTGGGGCGGGGGCTACATTCACGCCCCCCAAAAGTGTGGGACCACATATCTGCAAGCATGCACCCTTCTGACGGTCCAGGACCTGTACATACATACCTATGTTTATGTTTCTGCGGTTGCTTCTCTAATTGTGGTCTCTTTTGGGGTCACCATCAATTAGAATGCGGGCCCTGACATGCAGAGAACCCAAAACCCTCGAAAAGCAAAAGGTATTAACTCCTGTCTAGCCCTTATAAGGAAGAGTAGTTTTACATTTTTTGGGTGGGGCTCTTCAGCAAATAGTATGTATTCAAGTACCTGACCATATGAAATCTGTATTTGGTCACTTCTCTACGTTTTGGTCCCTGTTTTGGGGTTGCTATCATCAGGCGGCCCTACTGTCTAGGCTACCACAAAACGGCCCATCATTTTGACAACTCACCATATCCCCCCCCCCCCCCCCCCCCAAAAAAAAAAAAGTACGCATTCAGTTCTATAGGGGGGGGTTATACTATCCCAGAAAGTGTAAAGTGTACTTATTCAGCTACTAAGATACAGGTTGTCCTAAAGGCCAAGCCTTGTCAGGGATTCGTCTGGGACCTAGGGTGTGTGTTTGCAGGGGTTGAAGGTTGCTCACACGTGAGGGTTTAGGGTTTAAGGCTTTAAGGGGTTTAGGGTGTAGGGATCAGGGATTCAGATGGGGTTTAGGGTGTGTTTTGGCAAAATACCAATCTTAAAATAAGGGCGCCCCTTGTGTTGGTTGGATACTGTACAAGGGAACCTTGAACCAACAAAAAAGGGTAGTAAAGGGCACCGCTGGGCTACCTGGGGGCTTAATTACCATAATATAATCTAGGGTTTAGGGTTTAGGGTTTAGGGTTTAGGGCACTCTTTCTTGTTGGATACTTTATGAGGGAACCTTGTGCCACAACAAAAGGGTGCTAGGGCTTACTCGGTGCTGTTTCTGCTGTTAGGGTTTGGGGTTCAGGGTTAACCCTAAACCCTAAACCCTAAACCCTAAAACCCTCGACCGTGTTCTTGTTTGCACGTACCCCCGGCACAAGCTCTTGATACCAAACGCCCACGGCAAGCTGAGAACATCTAGCAAAAGGAGCAGAGCCACGGTTTAGGGTTTAGGGTTTAGGGCTCATTAAACATTATCCCCTTATCATCCCTCGTATCGCCCCTGTACACAATATCAAAACGACGCATTCAAGCGAAGGCTTGGGACGGGGTGACGGCACCCAATTGCAACAAGGAGTCTGAGCAACCAAAGGCCCTAAACCCTGAGACCCCAAAACCTAAACACATTCCACACTCTCGCTGCCCCATATTCCAGACAAGATAGAAATGCACGATGGCCCCCGAAGAAGAGCAAAATGAAATTGTGCTACACCAGAATGCGCATCATGTGCTCCTAGATCTACTGCAGCCTTTTTCGAGAGAACCACCTACAGCAAGCAGAAACGCCCAGACGTGAGAACAAGTCAAAACAGATTCTACGGTGCAATGATGGTGGATTTTCAAGATAATCCGAGCATCTGATTAATTCAAAAAATCTCTTTAAATGTGGGGGTATGAATTAAACTGATGCTCGGATTATGCAAGAAGCGAATTAAAGAATAATGTACCAATTGGTATCCGCCGAAGGGCGGTGGCCTGAGGCATTTAGATCTTGGTCCCCCTGCCAGACCCCTAAACCCTAAACCCTAAACATTAAACCCTAAACCCTAAACCCCCGACCAGTTGACCTGCCAAGTTTTTTAGCCCGGCACGGGTACCCTCTCTAGCCGATGAGTCTCCACCCGCGGACGAAGCCCCTAAGCCATGGTTGGGTGGGTGTGCCCTACCCCCCGAATTTGGGATGAGTAGGAAAATTTAAGGAAGTGGAGGCCCCCCCCCCCCCCCCCCCACCCGGCCAAAAAAAGAAAACCTAAACCCTTGACCCTTGAATACCCCAAACCCTAAACCCTTTGAACCCTAAACCCTTTGAACCCTGAACCCTTAACTCTAAGCCCTAAACCCTAAACCCTAAACCCTAAACCGCAGAGCAAGGCTCCTGGACTGACGATCCAGAATGCCAGGGCCAACGAACTTGTCTAGGGAGGCCATGACTGCTGTAGAGGCTGACTGGGTTAGGGTTTAGGGTTTAGGGTTTAGGGTTTAGGGTTTAGGGTTTAGGGTTTAGGGTTTAGGGTTTAGGGTTTAGGGTTTAGGGTTTAGGGTTTAGGGTTTAGGGTTTAGGCTCCAGGAATGCGGCACAGAATCTTGGGTGAAAAAGGAAGACCTACTTTCACGACAGGCACGCGGACATGAGCAAGAAAGTTCTCAAAGGTGTTGCCGATCAGTCTGGGTCTCAAAGCGTTCCATTCAGGGAGCTGGCGGTTTAAGGTAGGTAAGGTGCTGTCTTCTTCGGTTGGCCCTTAGAGCCCTCTGAAAAACATTCCTAAATTATGATCCTGATAAACCCAATAAGGCCTAGCTTCTTGCTGGGCATGCTCGCTTATTCTCTGACGGCTGTAGGCAGGGCGGGGCAAAGACAGAGTTTTTGGCAGCATCGACATGCCATCGACACCACAGGCGCGCAGCTTTTTGCAAGGGCTGCGAAGCTTGGGAGGTGGAGATCTGTACAAGCCCCCCCCCCCTCCCTCCCTCTAAGCCCGAAACCCTAAAACCCCCTTTACAGCACAGTGCGGCCACCCTAAACCCTAAACCCTAAACCCTAAACCCTAAACCCTAAACCCTAAACCCTAAACCCACAACAGGCTTGCCAGCTTCGCAGGCTTAAGGGTTGAGATGAGGGTGTGCAGGGCCACAGGGGCGAGGGCAGTCCCTGGAGCCTTAGAGAACACTGAACCCCCTCATCCAACAAGCCACACCCCTCCTAAACCCTAAACCCTAAACCCTAAACCCTAAACCCTAAACCCTAAACCCTAAACCCTAAACCCTAAACCCTAAACCCTAAACCCCTCTACTGGCAGCTTCCCTCACTAAGGCGGCCTCAGGTCACTCTTCCGCTCCACGGCCACAGCCTCCGCGTCATTCGAGACCTGCGTTGTGCTTCGACTCGCATCACAGAGGATTAGGGTTAAGGGTTAAGGGTTGAGGGTTGAGGGTTGAGGGTTAAGGGTTAAGGGTTAAGGGTTAAGGGTTAAGGGTTAAGGGTTAAGGGTTAAGGGTTAAGGGTTGAGGGTTGAGGGTTGAGGGTTGAGGGTTAAGGGTTTAGTGTTGCATTCTTAAGGTTTAGGATCTATGTTTCCAAAGTTCTCATGTGTCAGCCAGCCTACCGAACCCCTTAAAGGATTTCGACTCTTGGGTTTACGCTAGCTAGACCCAAGGAATACAAAAAGGTACGGTTTTTGGCTTATAGTTTCTTACAGGGCCTGTAAACGGAATGTAGCCCCCCCCCCCCCCCCCAGAGAAAAAAAAGAAAAGGACCCACTCCTTACGACGGTCCCCAACAAGGAGTGCACTGGCTGCGCCAAACTGGCCTTCCCCTCTTCCGGGAGCTTTCTAAGCTTCGAGGCTATGGGGCTCACAGGGCTTCTACGGCTCTGGAAAAAGTGGTCTCTTTTTGGGTGCCCTGAATATGTAGGGCTCACCGTCAAAAATGTGCAACCCCAAAAGGGACGCTAATGTAGAGAAGAGGCCCGGGAGGCCTTTGATAGACCTACCTGGAGGTTCAGGGTACTTATATAACCCCAATTAAAACTGCACCGACAAGCCTCCGAAGTCCTCGAAGTAGGTTGTAAGTAGACTTATAACTGGGGTAAACGAAGTACCCACAAACCTCCAAGTAGAGGGCTCTGGATCGCCCAAGAACCTAAAAACCCTAAACCCTGAACCCTGAACCCTAAACCCCCAACCCGCCCACCCCCCAAACAAAAAAGTGCCAATAAGTAGCAATATTGTCAAGCAGAATGCGCACGGCATCCTCGCTGGAGTCGTCCATGCCGATGACGAGCCGATGCGCCACCTGGCGTTTAGGGCTTGGGGTTTCTTTCGCGGGCTTGGACCCCTAAACCCTACACCCCCTAAACCTCCTAAACCCCCTCAGCGCCCTAGGCCCCTGAGCTGTTTGCAGTTCAGGGAGAAACGGAGGGACCCCTGGAAGGGACCCGCAATCTTAATTTCTCCTCTATATATATAATACCTTGTATAGTCCCTACATACCGAAGTGGCCCACTACGCCTAAGGTCCCTGATAAGGAATCCTCCTTTAGTCCCTTGAATCACCCTACTTCCTGTTGCCCACACCCTACATCGACCCTGAACCTTAAATCAGATTCGTATCGGAACGACCCATGCCCGCAGCTGTAAACCCTCAACCCTTCTGCCGGAGCCCCAAAGTGTAGGGT